GTTGTAGTCATCATTAGAAAGGTGTTTGGTGCCCATGTGGTTCCCAGCACCTGCCCCGCGGCAGCTCTGTCAACATTGAAGTATGAATAATGCCTTCTCTGTTGAAAGTCTGTACACGCAGCCATGAGACCTCAACAGGGTTAACCTTGCCTCCCTGGACCAGTGCGGGCCTCTGGTCCCTTCACCAGCCCCGAGCTGCCGGGCCCAGGGCAGCCCTGCTGCACACATCAGGGCCGGGTTGGCCGGAAAGGGCTCTAGGCGGCCTGAGCCCCTCGCGCCCCCGCTCCTTCCAGCTTTCTGCTGCTCTGGAGTGCGGTCCTCATCATGTACCCCACCAGCCTGGCCGTCATCTCCATGACCTTCTCCAACTACGTGCTGCAGCCCGTGTTCCCCAACTGCATCCCCCCCGCCGCAGCCTCCCGGATGCTGTCCATGGCCTGCCTGAGTAAGCATCACCCTTGGGCCTCTCCCCAGACCAGCTGCCTGCCCGGGCGGCCCCACCCTGCCCAGAGCAGGACAGCGGGGTGAGATTTTCCCTTCGAGTCTAGGGTTCTTGCATTCCAACTGCTGCAGAATGTTCTCGGGCCACCTGGGCTGGACTTGGCCGTGGTCCACTGTGAAAGGTCCCAGCCTCGGTGCCCACCCTCACCTTCTCTCCACAGTGCTCCTGACGTGGGTGAACAGCTCCAGCGTGCGCTGGGCCACGCGCATCCAGGATGTATTCACAGGCGGGAAGCTGCTGGCCTTGTCTCTCATCATTGGCGTGGGCCTTCTCCAGATCTTCCAAGGTAGGGCCGAGTGGGGGTGAGGGCCGGGCTGGGGAGACGGTGCTGACCCCTGACTTCTGGGCCCCCCAGGACATTTCGAGGAGCTGAGGCCCAGCAATGCCTTTGCTTTCTGGATGACGCCCTCCGTGGGACACCTGGCCCTGGCCTTCCTCCAGGGCTCCTTCGCCTTCAGTGGCTGGAACTTCCTCAACTATGTCACCGAGGAGATGGTTGACGCCCGAAAGTGAGTGGGGCCCCTGACCAGGCCCTGGGAAATAGCCAGGCCCTCTGATGGAAGAGGCAGCCTCTCTGCCCAGCCCCACTGCCACCTGCGGCTCAGGCTGGTCATCGGTGTCCCATGCCTGCTGCCCTGGAAAGAAAGCCGGTGGGTGGGGGGTGGGGGAGCTTGCATTCTAGCCCAGCCCTGTTCTCTCGGGCCATGGACACGTCACAGCCCCTTGCAGGGCCTCAGAAAGGCTGAATATCGTCATCCTGCTGTAAATAGATCCAGAGATTTGCATTTGGCCTAAAATGATGCATATGCACACAATATGGTCCCTACGAGTGAAGCCAATGACTGCGTCTGATGCTCAGCCAGCGATCCCAACAGCAAACCTTTGCAGCCGAGCAGCTGGGACTGGAGAGTTCCAGGAAGACCCTTGGTCTTCGGAGTGGGCTCTGGGGCCATTTTGGGGAATTTTCCAGGCTGATTTTGCTGTATGCAATTTCATCATCCTCAAGATGTGATGGGGCCCCTCCCCCATCTCCCATCCTGTGTCCAGGTGGGGGTGGTGGGGAAGGTCAGACAGCAGCATCCCTGTGTCTTGGGCAGCAATACCCCCTTTCCTGCCCCAACACCCTCAGCAGACACAAGACATAGAGACTATCAGCTGCTCCCGTGGCTGGGTCTCCGGGGCCCTGCACCCTCAGGAGCTGACCCTGACGCATTCCACTGCCTGCCCCCAGGAACCTACCTCGTGCCATTTTCATCTCCATCCCACTGGTGACCTTCGTGTACACCTTCACCAACATCGCTTACTTCACGGCCATGTCCCCCCAGGAGCTGCTCTCGTCCAATGCGGTGGCTGTGGTGAGTGGTCCCTTGCTCGGTCCCCGGCTCCTGCCCAGGCCCCTGCCCCAGCCTCACACACGGCCTCTCTCCTGTGCCCACTCAGACCTTCGGGGAGAAGCTGCTGGGCTACTTTTCTTGGGTCATGCCCGTCTCCGTGGCACTGTCAACCTTCGGAGGGATCAATGGCTACCTGTTCACCTCCTCCAGGTAACTGCACTGGGGGAAGAGGTGGGCATGGGGAGGGAAGGCTGGGGCGCAGCTGTGTGCCAGTCATGCCAGGGGCCAGAGGAAGGGAAACCTGCCGGGAGAAGAGTCCGCCTGAAGCTGGGGTGATGATCCCACCGGTAACAAGTGTCTGATCACAACTGGGAAGCAAAGCAAGAGGGAGGCGGGTTGGATGAGGGGAAGAACTGCCCAGTGGGGGATCAGAGAGGGAGGTCAGAAGCAACAACTTCAGAGGAATAGCAGGTCCGGAGCCGAGACCCAGGATGTGGCCGGTGCCCATCTCTGTCCCCGATGTTAGGCTGTGCTTCTCTGGAGCCCGAGAGGGGCACCTGCCCAGCCTGCTGGCCATGATCCATGTCAGACGCTGCACCCCTATCCCCGCCCTCCTCGTCTGTGTAAGTTGGGGAACCTGGGCTAGGCAGGGAGTGGAGGCAGGGCTACCCGGCAACGAGGGACCTTCCGGGTAATGGCAGGGATGAGCCATTCCGGGGCAGGGGTGTGGGGTGGGACCAGGGCTTATCCTGCAGGGGCAACAGGAGGCAGGCTGGGGGCTGGCCGTCAGCCCCAGGTCCTCTCCCAGTGCGGGGCCACGGCCATCATCATGCTCGTGGGCGACACATACACGCTCATCAACTACGTGTCCTTCATCAACTACCTCTGCTACGGCGTCACCATCCTGGGCCTGCTGCTGCTGCGCTGGAGGCGGCCGGCACTCCACAGGCCTATCAAGGTAAGGCCCCTGGGATGGCTGGCCCCTGTGCCGGGCGCTGCCAGAGCCACCCCTGCATCCACAGTGGGCATCAGGGGCAGGTGGGGCGGGAGGTGCCAGCTTTTGCGGAGTGTTGGGCCCTGCTCAGGGCTCTCCTTGCACTGAGGCACCCACTCTTCACAGCAGCCCCATGCGGTCAGTGCTTTGAATGCTCCCAGTGTATAGACAGGGACAGTGTGAGGCTCAGGGCCGTGCGCAGGGGCTCATGCCTATCCCAGCCCTTTGGGAGGCCGAGGTGGGAGGATGGCTTGAGCCCAGGAGTTTGAGACTAGCCTGGGCAACATAATGAGACCTCCTCTCTGCAAAAAAAAAAAATCAAAAATTAAAGGATTAGCCTGGGGTGGTGGTGTGAGCCTGTGGTCCCAGCTACTTGGGAGGCTGACGTGGGAGAATCGCTTGAGCCTGGGAGGTCAAGGCTGCAGTGAGTGCTGCTAGGGCCACTGCACTCCAACCTGGGCCACAGAGGGAGACCCTTCCTCTAAAATAATTAAAGAAAACAAGACTCGGGAGCTGTTCAAGGTCACAAAGGCTGCCGGGATTCCATGAGCCCACACAAACACAGAAGACCACAGCCTGAGCTAAAAGCAAAGCCCCCCTGGGCTCAGTGGTTCACACCCATAATCCCAGCACTTTGGGAGGCCAAGGCAGGCGGATCACAAGGTCAGGAGATTGAGAATCAGCCTGGTCAACATGGTGAAACCCCATCTCTACTAAAAAATACAAAAATTAGCTGACTGTGGTGTCATATGCCCATAGTCCCAGTTACTCAGGAGGCTGAGGCAGGAGAATCGCTTGAACTAGGGAGGTGGAGGTTGCAGTGAGCCGAGATCATGCCACTGCACTCCAGCCTGGCAACAGAGCGAGACTCCATCTCAAAATAAAAAAAAAAAAGTAGCCGGGCGCGGTGGCTCAAGCCTGTAATCCCAGCACTTTGGGAGGCCGAGGCGGGTGGATCACGAGGTCGAGAGATCGAGACCATCCTGGTCAACATGGTGAAACCCCGTCTCACTAAAAATACAGAAAATTAGCTGGGCATGGTGGCACGTGCCTGTAATCCCAGCTACTCAGGAGGCTGAGGCAGGAGAATTGCCTGAACCCAGGAGGCGGAGGTTGCGGTGAGCCGAGATCATGCCACTGCACTCCAGCCTGGCAACAGAGCGAGACTCCATCTCAAAATAAAAAAAAAAAAAAAAAAAGTAAAGCCCCCCACGATGTGTATATAAATCCTTAAGTGGAGAAGTGCTCAGTGCCTGAAATGTAAAACACCAAAAAATCACTGACCTCCAGCCAAGTGCAAGCGTCAGGTCCACAGACAACCTCTGGGTGGAGCTCTGCGCCACTGAGACTTTGAAACGTCTTCAGCAAAACTGGCCAATGGCCCGACCCACGAATTGGCCTCCAAAACACTGGCTTGTCACCAAGAGGGGGTGTAGTTGAGTGCAATTGCAATTCAGGCCCCAGCTCCCAGGGAAGGGAGGAAACGCCCCCGAGGGTCGGAGGTGCAGAGAGCTGGGGTCTCTGCCCTATCGGTGTTCCTGCTACCCCTTCCCCAGGTGAACCTTCTCATCCCCGTGGCCTACTTGGTCTTCTGGGCCTTCCTGCTGGTCTTCAGCTTCGTCTCAGAGCCCATGGTCTGTGGGGTTGGCGTCATCATCATCCTGACGGGGGTGCCCATTTTCTTTCTGGGAGTGTTCTGGAGAAGCAAACCGAAGTGTGTGCACAGACTCACAGGTGAGCCAGGCAGCCACAGGTCACGTGGCACAGGGGGCGGGGCCCGCGGACCAGACCTCCTTCTTACAGTCTCACCCAGAGCTGGGTGTCAAGCAGCTGAGGTGGGAACACAGAGCCCAGTCGCCGCCAAATGGCCCTCCCCAAGATGTACCCCAAGTTTCCAGAATCCACGTGTACTGACGGAGCAGCTCCCTGAAAATCCCTGCCCAACGGGAGGTGTCCAGAGCTGGGGGTCACCTCTATCCCACGAGGTCAGGGCCCAAGGTCCATCTGTCTGTCCTCAGAGTCCATGACACGCTGGGGCCAGGAGCTGTGTTTCGTGGTCTACCCCCAGGATGCCCCCGAGGAAGAGGAGAATGGCCCCTGCCCACCCTCCCCACTGCCCGCCACAGACAAGCCCTTGAAGCCACAATGAGATGTTTGTAGAGACTGAAGCAGCTGTTTCTGTTTACATGTTTATTGAGGAGATGTTTGGCAAAAGAGTTTTTTTTTTTTTTTTTTTTTCTGGAAAAAAAAAAAAAAGATACGACTCTTAGAAGCCTGTTTTAAGGAAGCCCTAAAATGTGGACTGGGTCTCCTGTGTTAGCGCTGCCCTGCTAGCTTTTCCCGAAAAGGCCTATAAATAAACAGGGCTGGCTGTTCGCTTGTGCTACGGGGAGTCCCTGATGGGCACAGACGGGGCCAGCTGGGGTGCACCTCAGTGGGTGCATACATGTTCCTGGCCAGCTCTGGAGGAGGCTCTTGACATTTGGGGGCTTTGCCGCTTGACACAGGCACTCCCTACCATGGCACCCAGAGTCCGCCTTCCCCAAAGGGATGTCTAGGATGGGGAGCAGCTCAGTCTGCCCCTCCCCCAGGCCCTCCATGCCAGTCTGAGCTTGGCCACCCAGAACTCAGGGGCTACCGGCTGGGATTGTCTTTCCTCCTGTAAATCACAGAGTGAAGGTCAGGACTTCAGAGCCTACAGTTGCACCCTGGCTTACAGGTGGGGAAACTGAGGCCCTGAGATAGGATGGCATTAATGTGGCCACTGCTGTTGGTGCCTCAGCCTCTCTGTTCCCAGAAAGCACAGAGTAGCATGTCCTGGGGGCCTCGAGGCCTGCAGGGGACTCCAGGGGCTTCCTGATGCCAGGCACATACCCCAGCCCTGCCATAGTACCCAGAAGATTAGACCCTCAGGGAGGGCAGAGGGCACCCGCCTGGCCAGGGACATGAGGGTTCGCAGGAGCCGCCCAACTCAGCTCCTCCAGGGGCCCTGTTGGACAGGAGGAGGGCGAGGCGTGGGCAGAACGGTCACCGTGGATGAGATCCAGCGTCCCCACGGCACGGCTCCATCCTCACGACAACTCCCAGCTCTGGGGGCGACGGGTGCCACTGCAGGGCGGATGAAGCAAAAAGGCTCTGGCCCCCTGCTTCTCTGGAAATGGGTTCCCAGAATGGAGTGCGGGGAGAGAAGTGAGACCCCAGGGTGCTGTGTACACCGGGACCTTGCAGACTGAACTCAGTGGCTCACCGGTCTACCCTTCCCCATGTTCAGTCTCAGAGCTCCCGCCCACCATGCCCACCACTACAGCCAGCCAGCTGAGGGCCCAGCCCCTTCGCTGGGGGCCCCGGAGGGCCTCTCCGTAAAAAAGGACGCAGAGGCAGGGTAGAAATGACTGTGTATTCCCTGGTTACAAAGCGGGGCTGTGGCGGTCACCAGCGTGCCCAGCCGTCAGCAGACCAGCAGGGCCTCGTCGTCGCTGGCCTCCAGCATTGGGGAGCAGGGGGGCGGGGGGCTCCTGCAGACCCCCAGTGGCTCTGGTGAGTGGGGGCTCAGGGTGCTGCTGGCAGTGGAGGCCTGAGGGTGCGGGTCCTGGGCTGAGCAGGGCTCCCGAGGTGCATCCGCAGGAGCTGGGCCGTCTGCCAGAGGCTCCCTGCAGGCCTTTCTGTCCTTGTCCGTGGGCCTACACTCTGGGTCTCGCAGGCCTGAGGGCAGGGGTGGCCCTGAAGGTCCCACCTCCGGTGCATGGCCGGGGGCACTGGGGGGTCCATCTCCGGCCGCCCTGGGGCTGCCTGTGTCCATAAGGGGTGCCGGGGGGTTGGGGGCAGCCTCTGGTGCAGGCTGGAGAAGCCCGTCGCCCAGCACGGTCTGTGAGGGGCGTGCCGCGGTCAGCAGCGGGATCTGGCCTCGGGGCGCCCGTGGCCGGTGAAAGAGCCGGTTCCAGAGGCGGCCAAGACGGCGGCGAGAGGGCCCCCGGCGGGAGGCATGCCTACGCATCTGTCTCCGCATGGCCGTGCGAAGATTCTGCAGCACGGAGGCCTGCGGAGTGGGCGGGGGGTGGGGGTGGGGCGGGGAGGGGTGGCTGAGGGGGCAGGGGTCAGCACACCCCCCCAAGGGACGTGAGACCCAAAAGACCACCTTGTCCACCCCTCATTTGGCTGTGGGCCCCCAGGTTACCCTGCCCAGACCTTGCTTCCTGCTCCTGTGACCCCTGGACCAGCCTCTTCTGCACGCTGTTCCACCCAGCCCCCCTGTCTTGGGCCCTCTCTGAGGTCCAGCTTGAGGCCTGGCCCGGGAGGGGTCTCATGCCCTCCGGGGCTCACCTGGGACGCACTGTAGACAGGAAAGTCCTCCACTGGTGGAATGAGGCCCTGGGCAATGAGCTGACCATAGGACGGGGGTGCCTCCCGCCGCACGAACTCAGCCTCCAGGCGCGTCATCTGGGTCTCAAACGCCCTAGAAGCCGTGGGCGGAGGGAGACGTGGCGGGGCTGCTGGGTGCCTGCAGCGGCAACAGGACTCTGGGACAGCCCTCCACCCAGACATCCCAAGATGTAGGGACCCCAGTGTGCACTGAGGCAGCCTCCACGTGGCTGGCCCATGCCCCCGTTTACAAACCCACAGCTGCAGGGACAGCAAGCCTGGGCAATGAAGAAGCCCGGTCCCGTGCACCCACCTGTACTCCTGCGTGCGAAGTGAGTAGAGCTTGAAGGCACAGCCCAGCGCGATGACAAGCAGCAGTCCACATACCAGGCTGCCGATGAGCGCCGCCGTTATGACCTTTCGGGGCACGGCGGCCAGGCACCCATGCTCGTCGCTGCCATCCTGGCAGTCCTCCTGACCATCACAGCGCCATGTCTCAAAGATGCACAGGTTGGTGCCGCAGTGGAAGGTGCCAGGCTGGCAGGAGAAGCAGTTCTTCTCATCGGCGCCATCGGGGCAGCTTTTCTGGTTGTTGCAGCGGTCGGCAGGTGCATAGCACAGACCACTGCCACCTTCACAGGGGTACTGGTCGGGCGGGCAGGCGGGGCAGCCCTGCTCGTCTCGGCCGCTGGCGCAATGCCACCAGCCGTCGCATCGCTGTGGCTCTGAGAAGCAGCCCTGGTCACCCGCGCTGCCCCCGTCAGCGTCACTGCTGCTCCCGCACGGCTGTTCCCAGGGGAGGCAGTAGCCCTTCACCTGGTAGGTGGCATTGAAGCCGTGGCCAGCGCTGCGGGCACGTGCGTGGTAGGCCACAGTGAGCCGGCCCTGGGCAGCCTCCAGGCTCACAGGCCGGTGGTTGCTGCGGTAGGACAGTGTCTGCAGCAGGCGGTCCCCGCGCTCGCCCAGGCCCTCGTATACCTGCACGTAGTCATCGTAGCCCAGCCGCAGTTCCAGCTGCAGCAGCACCCGCCGCGACTCCTGGGTGTCCACCAGCCACGTGCAGTGAAGGTCCGAGGGCCCGCGGGCCGCGCCGAACAGGTCCGGGGAGGCAAAGGAGCCGTAGAAGCTGCCCAGCCGCCGGCCACACGCCAGGTCAGGGCAGCCCGCCTCGTCGGAGCCGTCGCCACAGTCCTGCAAGCCGTCGCAGCGCCGCTCCACCGGCAGGCAGCGCGTGGAGCGCGCCCCGCTGCACGGGAAGGTCCCCCCGGGGCACAGGCTGCCCGGAGGCTCAGAGGCGGGTGCTGAGCAGTTGCCCTCATCAGAGCCGTCCCCACACTCATCCACGGTGTTGCACTGCCACGGGCCGGGCAGGCACTTGCCATTGTCACAGCGGAACTCATCTGCCTGGCAGGACGCCTGGCCCAGCTTCCCTGTGCGGTGGAGAGGTAGCAGGGGAAAGTCAGGGGACAGAAAAGCCTCCCTCCGGCCTGGGGGCCTGGGGCCAGAAGTGGGCAGGTGGTGGAGGCAGAGACCCCCCAACACCAGGGCACACTCAGTCCCTGACCTGAGCCTGGGGTTAGGGGTGAGTTCCCACAACTAGCCAAGACTGGGAAGTGGGGCCAGTGACCTTGAGAGTCCAAGGCATCCGGCATGCCCAGTCCTGCCACTGTCCTGAGATTGACAGGACAGTTGGGGGACACCCCGTGGGAGCCGGGGCCCTGTGGAGGGTGCTGCCCCTGTGGGCGGGAGCCTGTGGGCATGCACCATGTGCTCCTTGGTGTCCTGCCCACCCTGCGGCCACCATCACCTCGGATGTAAGACAGACGGAAGCCCTGGGCCTGGCCGGAGCTGGAGGCGTCTGAGTGGAAGAAAATCCAGACGTGGTCACGGGCGGAGATGAAGGCAGGTGGGATGGCGGAACCACAGAGGCGGAAGGCCTCCTGGCGGGGCGGAGCCGCTGGGCCCAGCAGGAGCCAGTCCAGGGAGCACTGGTGGGACTCCTCCACGTCAAAGTTGCGGAAGCTGTGGGTGGGGGTGGGGTGTGGAGAGGACCCAGACATGAGGCAGCAGGAGGGACCTCCGTGGCTGTGGACCAGCCAGGAGGGGTCAGGCTGGTCAGCAAGGACAGCCAGCCCCGTCCCAGCTAGCCACCCCCACTCCTCGTGTCCCAGACTGCCTGGTTCCTCCACTCTCAGGCACTCCGTCCCCACGCTGTCCCCATTCAGGTGTGCACAGGCAGCTCCATGAAGAATCACGACGTCCACGCAGGTCATTTCCAGCTCTGCCACGGCTTCCCTACCCTCCATCAGTGCACAGGGCACCCCCAGCCCGAAGCCAAAGTGGAGCAGGTGGTCAAGAGCCCCAAGCCCTGACATTCTCCCCAAAAGGGCAGAAGCCCAAAAGCCCAGACCCCTCCAGCCGGGTCCACTGGGACTGGCCCAGCACAAAGTCCCAGGCATGGGCACTGAGGGTGAGACTCTGCCTACGGGGCTGGCCGAGGCTGCAGCAGGTTGCCAGCTTGTCACCTCAGGAGATACACTGGCCCTGAACCAGCTGGCCCTTGGGGAAACTGAGGCACAGAGACTAGGACAGACTCTGCCCATGCTCATCACATCCTCATGCTTTGAAGTTATGGAGTAAGAGGGGGGTTGTGCCTTTGGGGCTCTGGCATTTAGGAAAACTATGGCAGATGGAACCCATAGTGACACCCCAGCCAAATGTTGCCATGACCACCCCTGGCTGGGGGTTCCAGCCCCTCAGGACCACTGCTCACTGCCTGGCCCTCTTTCCCTCTGCATGTCCCTGAGGCTCTAGCACCCAGACTTTGCCGGCTTCATTCTTCTCCCAAAGGCCCCCTCCGGAAACCATGCTCTGGGCTCAGTGCTATCCTGGCCCCCAGCCACCCCTGCAGGACAGAGAGGACTCCCCTGCCACCTCAGAGACATCAGATGATACCCACCAGTCCCAGGCTGTGTTCCCAGTGGTGTGTGTGCTGGCCCTGCCTTCCTGGCAGGGCTGAGTGACTGAGACCCCATACACCCCATGAACGATGCTCAAAGCAGGAAGAGGTCCAGCTTGGGCACCTTGCCACAGAGGCCCATGGAGACTCAGGGCAGTGGACACACTCACGTGTGTGTGTTCACATGTGCACATGCATGCTTACCGCACACACATGGTTACACCTGTTCTCTTACATGCATGCTCACATGCATGCTCTGCACCTGTGCAGGCATGGCTGTGCACACACATGTGCTCACATGTGCACTCTCACACGTGTCCTTTATGTCTCCTCTGACATGGGCTTGGCCATGTACACAGGCACATGTGTGTTCACACACATACACACACGTGCACTCACATATGCACACACCTACTTACATGTGCTCACACACATGCACATACTACACACCTGCTGAAATACCTACACACACCTGCCTCACACATGCACACATCTGCACGCGCACACAGCTGTTCACAAATGCTCACACATGCACACACCCACATACCTGTTCACACCTGCTCACACACAAGCGCTCATACACATGCACGTAATCCCACACCTGTGTACACACACGTACACCCTCAGGCATGCACCCTCCACACCTCACACACTCAAGACACATGCTCACCCACCCCACGCACGTAGGCCCACTGTGATTCCCTCTAACACCCCCTGGCACCCCTACCTGATGGTGATCATGTCCCCACGGTCGCCTTGGATGTACCAGCTGCAGTTGGTCCCCGGCGGGTAGTTGAGGGGCCAGGCCGGGCTGTAGATGACCCCACGCCGCTCTGTGTGCTGCTCCAGCTTCCCGCTGCAGGCCGCTGTCGGAAAGGCCGGCCCATCTTTGGTTGGGAAGCGGGTTGCGGTCAGGGGCAGATGGGGCTTCAGCACAGGCCTCCCCCATGGTGGGATCGAGTCCAGCCAAAGAATGGCCATGGCTAAGGGCAAGGCCGCAACTCGGGACTTCATGGAGGTGGTGCGTACGGGAGGCCAAGGCGGGCCTCCTATCCTCTGGGCACCTGCAGCCCCCAACCCTACGCAGTAGGCTAGAGCCTAGGTCCTGTCCCCTGCATCTCTGGCTGGGTTGGGAGCGAACACACCAACAACCCCTCCTGGCAGCCAGAAGCTCCAAGGCGTAGCCTTGTGGCCTCGGCTCGGTGGAGAAGTCCACACCCCTAGGCCTGCCCGGCTGGCGTAGCCCATCCTGTGACAGCCCCCTGCCTGCTCTCCCGGGGTTTTCTCACTCAACATGTATTTACTGAGCACCTACTATGTGCCAAGCACTCTGAGTAAGGCAGGAATAAGGCCTGCTCTATGGAACTCACAGGCTGGGGGTGGGAGCAGATGGACTTTATGCAGAACCCCTGGATGGAGTGAAGAAGATCCTACGACAGGCCTGCAGGGAGGTGGCAAAGTCCAGCTGTGGCTGGAAACGCAAGCTGGGTCTGATCACACCCTGTGCAGAATTCGGGTTTTATCCTGAGTACAAGTGGGAAGCCACCAAAGGTAGATCTCAGAACAAGGTGAGGAAATAGGCTCAGAGAGGGTCAGTGACTTGCCTGGGAGGGGCAGAGTCAGGAGTCACCATAATCCTCTGGTGGCCTCGGCTTCTCATTGCAGCACTGAGCCAACATGCATTCATGGAGTGCCAACTGTATACCACTCAGGTTGAACAAAGGGCATCACGCCCACCAGCTCAAGGGAGGAGCCCTCTGTGCCCAGCCCCACTGGCCTCAATTTAACCCATGCATTCTCCATGTTGTCTGCTTCTAAACCAGCCAGGGCAGCATGGTGAGCCTGCCCTGCCCTGCTGTGCCCTGGCCCTCCTAGGACCGGGTGGCTGGCCCCTGCACTTGGCCACCTCCCCTACCCTTCATCCCCCTAGACCTTTCTCCACGCTGGTCCATCTGATTCTCACAACAGCCTGAGATAAAGGCAGGGCCCGTTTTGCAGATGGAGAGACTGAGGCTCAGAGAGGTGAGAGACAACCCTTTTCCCGAGTGACGCTCCTTCCTTGCCCTCCCAATGCCGGCCCTGGCAGAATGACCCTGCAGAGTTCTCTCTGGTTCTCAGCAGGACTGTCTGGGACCCAGCTGCAGAAAAGAGAGGAGAGCCCTCTGGCTGCCTCCCATGCTCTCAGGACAAAACCACAATTCACTACAGTGGCCCCAGCCCCTCCCTGTGCCGCACTCGGCCTTGTCCCTCCCATAACCCCTAGCAGCCCCCCGAGACCTCTCCAATCCCTCACAATGGAAGGGGACTTCGCTCTGGAGGCCCTGGTGGTCCACAGTGTGTGCTCTCCCCACCCTCTTATCCTGTTCACGGACTCCTACTCAGCTTCCACTCCCAGCTCTGTGGTCTCTTCCCAGAGAAGCCCTCCAGGCTGCCTCCTGCAGAGCTCCTGCCCTCTGCCCCTTCCCCCAGCCTGGGCCACACCAAATTTCCCTTTTGTTGTTAAGACTGACGAATGAACGTCACACAGGAAGGCAGGGCTGGCTGTGTCCGGGACCCTGCACGGTGCCTGAAGGATGCCAGGTGCTCCATAAATGTGGGTCCCTGAGTGGACGGGTCCGTCTGAGGACCTGCTGGGCAGCTGGAGGCATGAGCTGGGAGCTGAAGCCCCTTCCTTTGGGGGCCTACTGGGACAGTGAAGGTCCAGGTGACCCAGGACTGTGACTAATAGGGAGCTGGCAACCCCATGAACAGCTCATGAGAGCATCAAGGATAAGAACAGAACTCTCGGCCCTAGAGCAAGGCTGGGGGGACCACCGAGTCACCATCAGACCCTTGACAGGCCCAGGTCAATGAGGTGCAAGCCAGAGCCTCTGCACTTGAGACTTACACAAGGCTCTGGGAGGCAGCCCCTACAACGAGCCTCCGATCCTGCCCCGGAAATAGAGCACTGTACTGTACATCCCGCTCCCAGCCCGGGGTCAAGGGGAGGAGATAAACTATTGGAGAGAGATCTCAGGGTGCAGCCATCCGAACATTCAAAGTCACCCCAGCCCCAGCCCCAGCCTGGTTCCCTCTACCGGGTGAGGCCACCAGCCATGAGGACCCCGCAGAGTCCTGAGGTGCTGAACTGGGATTCCTTGGGAGGTGTAGGGTTAAGAAACCCAAGAGGCCAGGTGTAGTGGCTCAGGCCTGTAGTCCCAGCACTTTGGGAAGCCAAAGCGTGTGGATCATTAGAGGTCAGGAGTTTGAGATCAGCCGGATCAACGTAGCAAAACCCCATCTCTACTAAAAGTACAAAAATTAGCCGGGTACGGTAGCGGACATCTGTAATCCCAGCTACTCGGGAGGCTGAGGAAGGAGAATTGCTTGAACCTAGGCAGAGGTTGCGGTGAACCAAGATCACACCTCTGCACTCCAGCCCGGGTGACAGAGCAAGACTGTGAAGGGAAGAAAGGGAGAGCGAGAGAGGGAAGGAAGGGAGGGAGGGAGGGAGGGAAGGAGGGTGCCCAGCGAATTTTTAGATTTTTTTTTGTAGAGATAGGGGTCTCACTGTGTTGCCCAGGCTGGTCTCAAACTCCTGAGTTCAAGCATCCTCTTGCCTCAGCCTCTCAAAGTGCTGGGATGACAGGCACGAACCACTGCACCCAGCCAGACTTAACGTGTTTATAGAAATCCTTGTTGGAAATGGCAGTATATAGGTGGAATTAGCAAGAGCTGCAGAGGTCTGGGGGGGCTTATCAATGACAGAACTGGCTCCCTGAGGCCCCTCTCAGACTCTCCAGGCAGCACGAGGGCCCCAGGGGGCCTGGGCTTATCCACTCACCAACCCCAGCAGCCCCTTCCCTCCAGCAATGGAGGATGGATGGGCTCTGCCACCCCTCCAGCTCTTGATGGCCTTTGCAGTGCTCGGGACGAGGTCGGAGCTTAAAGACAGCCAGCGGCTGGACAGACTCACGCCAACAGGCAGAGGCAGGGGCAGCCTTCTCACTGTGTCCTCTCGGATTCTGTATGTACTTTTGGCCAAAATATTTCCCTCCCCCTTGCAAGTCAGCTGCCTAGAACTCACCTTTCACGTGCAGCTGATGCAAGGCCACGCCCTCCACCCACCTTCTTATCTAACCTCCCACACCAAGCCAATACCTTCCCTGCCCTGAAGCACCTCCAGACCAGCTACTAGGCAACCAGTGGGCACCCCCATAGCCCAAGTCCAGCAGAATGACTCAATCCAGCCAATCCTAGACTGTTTACTCTGCCCTGCCTCAACTGTCTTTTTTAGAGTCTTGCTCTGTTACCCAAGCTGGAGTGCAGTCGTGCGATCTCAGCTCACTGCAACCTCTGCCTCTCGTGTTCAAGCGATTCTCCTGCCTCAACCTCCCAAGTAGCTGGGATTGCAAGAATGAGCCACCACGCCCGGCTAATTTTTTGTATTATTAGTAGAGATGGGGTTTCGCCATGTTGGCCAGGCTGGCCTCAAACTCCTACACTCACGCAATCCGTCCACCTCCGCCTCCCAAAATGCTGGGATTACAGGCATGAGCCACCGTGCCCAGCTGCCTCGAATTTCCTATGGAAGCCCTAATGCCGGCTCTAACGTATCCCTTTCTCCCACTCCTGCTTCTGCTTGTCCAAACTTAGTAATTCCCAGGTGGCCCTGCATGGCGTGGCATGCCCCTCCTCTCAAGAAAATTAATAAAGTCTTCTTTCCATGGCATGGGCCACTCTGTGTCTTCCCACCATCATACCCCTATAAATTAAAGCCTAGGAATTGTTTTTAAATAGGCCGGCATCGGCTGAGCACAGTGGGTCATGCCTGTAATCCCAACACTTTGGGAGGCCAAGGTGGGAGGATCACAAAGTCAGGAGTTCAAGACCAGCCTGGCCAACATAGTGAAACCCTGTCTCTAATAAAAATTAAAAAATTATCCAGGCATGGTGGCAGGCACCTGTAATCCCAGCTACTTGGAGACTGAGGTAGGAGAATTGCTTGAACCTGAGAGGGGAAGTTTACAGTGAGCAGAGATCGAGCCACTGCACTCCAGCCTGGGCAACAGTGTAAGACTCTGTCTCAAAAAAAAAAAAAAAGAAATAGGCAGGTATCTCACAGTGCCTCATGGAAATCAGGGAAGTCCACGGCCCAAGTGAGGGCACAAGATGTCAATTCCATGGGACCCTCAGCAGCTTGCCAGTGGTATAAAGCCACCATGTAACAGGCACCACATGGAGAGCTTGCCTCACTGGCTCACGGAACCCTAAGAGCCAGGTTTCGACTAGACCTTGTTATTTCACCCACTTTACAGATGAGGAAACTGAGGCTCAGAGAAGTTGAAGCCTGTCCTAAGCCAAACAGCTCCTTTGTGATGCAGAAAAGATGCAGGCGGGAACTCGGGGTGGAGACAGGACCCTGAAGGCCTGTCCTCAGGGGCCACAAACCCAGAAGGGCCCGGAGGGAGGGAGGAAGGAGAGAAAGTGCTTACTTACCTAAGGCAGGAACCGCACTGCTGAGCCTCCCGGTGAGAAAGATGTTCACTGAGGGAGACACAAAGAGGGGGGTCAAGGGTCCCAGGTACCTGCTGGAGACCAGCAGCAGCCCATGCGGGACACCACAGCTAAACCCAAGGCTGGCCCACTGGTCCCCTTCCTCTTACCGTGCAAGGCCCAGAGCACAGCCCAAGCCTGCCCATCAAGAGAGCCCAACCTTACTCCACCTCCCTGCCTCCTTGCTCTGTTATCCAGGCTGGAGTGCATAGCTCACTGCAGCTTCAAACTCCTAGGCTCAAGCAATCCTCCCACCTGAGCCTCCCAAGTAGCTGGGACTACAGGTGTGGCCCACTATGCCTGGTCATTTATTTTTTATTTTTGTAGAGATGAGGTCTCATCGTGTTGCTCAGGCTGGTCTCAAACTCCTGGCCTCAAGCAATCCTCCTGCCTTGGCCTCCCAAGTGCCGGGATTACGGGCACCAGCCACCATGCCTGGCCTGCTCCTGCTACTTTGACAGCTTCCCCCTCCAAGGGGCTTTGCATGCCCAGCAGCAGCAGGAGCGGGAGGGGAGGCAGTTCTGATCATCCCCATTTACAGGGCCCACAGCTAGTGACGGAACCACGCTCTTCCCCCATGCCACGCCAACCTTGAGAAGGGAGGCAAAAGCTCCCCAGCCAGCCCTGATGCACCCACCTCCATGGGGTTTGGCCCTTACTTTCACCTTCTGCTCTGCCCCAGGGGTTAAGCAACCAGAGAGAAGATATGGGCAGAGTTGGGGGTCAAGTCCAACTTCCAGGGGTTCAGGATGTGGGTCAGACGCTGCCTGGCCAGGGAGCAGGAGCCGCTGCCCCGACTCAGGACACCAAGGCCCCCTGGACAGAGCCAGGCCAAAGCTGAGCATGAAGGGCCTGTCCCTCTGCCCTGCTCACCAAGGATGCCAGCATCCAGCAGCTCAGAGCCCAGCACACACAGCCCCCCACCCAGGTTGGGGTGGGTGCGCTGGGTTTACACTCTCCATTCTCTCCAATGTATGTACATCCCATTGAGCCAGCCTCACACAGCTGGGGCAAGGGCCTGCCGGAGCCTGAGAGCTCCCTGATGCCTGGGGGTGATTACTTTGTCATTTCAGTGGCTTCAGCAAACCTGTCAGGTTACAGAGCCCTCACTGGTGACATCACAGGGTGTCCCCTAATGACCCTCAGTTCTTATAATGGCCTCCCTCCTTCATCACAGTAAATAAAGGAGCCATGTGGGTTGGGGATTTAACTCTCGCCCACACACAGCCCTGGAAAGCTGGACAGAAAAACTCCCAGGCAAGGTGGGAGCCCCTCCCACCCCATGCCTGAGCTGGACGGGTCCCTGGCCCAACCCAAGCACCCCCTAGATTGAACAGGCCTGCTCCGGGGCTGAGAGACACAAATGGAAAACAGGAGTCCCCTGGAAGCTGCCTCCACTCCGGCACCCTCCTCCAGCCCTGCCCCGCACCCCGAGTCCCCATCTGTGACTCACACCCACCCCCACCCCCAACTCCGGGCCGGAAACAGTTTCTTCAGGGGACAGCCGGCTTGGCCTTTGTCCCCAGCACCCGGGACCCCCTGGCCTCCAGGCTCAGCGCGGGCGGGCCTGGTGAAGGTTTTCGCCTGCACGAAGGGCCGCCTGCCAGCGCTCAGCCCTGGGTTCCGGGCGCTACTCTGAGCGGGGAGGGATCCGGGGCTGCGCCACCAGAGTCGCCCTCCCAGGCCCGGAGCCCGGCGGGCGGACAGGCGGTACTGGGCGCTTTCTGGGCCTCCGCGCGGGAGACACCGCGGTGCGGTGCCCCGGGAAGCCAAGGTCGGAGAGGGGATCGGTCCGGGCGCCGCGCGGAGCTGCCACACGGGGACCCGAACCCGCCCGGCCGGCGCGGCCCACTCACCGAGACACACGACGGCCAGCTGCGCCCGGGCGCCCGGCGCGCCCTCCAGCCCCACGGCCGCGCGCTTATCCATGCCTGGCCCGGCCGCCCGCAGGCGCCGCCTCCTGCTGCCTGGCTCCGGCTGTGGCTCCGTCTGCAGCCGGGGTTGGGGCTCGAGCTCCGGCTGGCGCGGCGGCGGCGGCCCAGGTGCAGACGGCGGCTCCCGAGGCGTCTTTGTGCGGTGGCGGTGCAGGCCCGTAGCGCACCCGGGGCCACATCGGCAGCGGCGTCACGGGCCCCGCAGGGGCTCAGCGGCGGCCGCCAGGGAGGACCCCCGCCCGCCGCTGCCCCCGCGCCCCGGGAGCCCCGCCGCGGCCGGCCTGGGCCCGGGGACCCCCGGCGCGCCCATGCCCCGCGACGCGCAGCCCGCCCGGCCCCGGCGACCCCAGGCCGCCCCGCGCTGCGCCCAGCCTGCCCGGCCGGGTGCCGCCGGTGGAGCGTCCGTGGGTCTGTCGGCCGTCCCGCCCGGCCCCTCACCCGCGCCCGGAGCCCGGAGGCCTAGCTGCGCCAGCCACGTGACGCGCCCGCCGAGCCGCAGTGGCGCTGGCAGGGCGGGCGGAGGCGGCTGGGGCGGGCCGGGGGGCGCACGCCCCGCCTTGGGGTGCTGGACAGCTCCGCGCACAAGCCCCGCCCCGTCCGCGCCCCCAGCCTTCCAGCCCAGCGCTCCAAGCTGGCGGTGTGCCCTGTGTCCCGGCCGCTGCTCGCCTGGCCTCCTCCCGGGCCCATGAATTGGTCCCTCCTGGACTGGGAGAAGGTGGGAGAGAGAGGGCTGCTTAGGGGACCTCACGGGGCTGGCGCAAGGCTAAAGCCTGTCTTCCTCGAAAGGTGTCCCTGTTTCTGCCCCTCCAATTCTTTCACTTGCTGCAGTCCAAGTGCCCTGTCACGTCTCTAAGAGAAACCTCCTGTGCCGAGCAAGACCTATGAAGGGACATTGGTGAACATGAGGCCAGAGGCCTCTAGACATCTCCCAGGGCCCCCTGAGCCTACCTTGTAACCCATTATCCTCGAGAGGCTGGGCACTGAGGAGGAGGCCTGCTTCTTAAGCTGGGGCTGCCATCTGGAGAGCTGTCCACCAAGAGGTTGAATCCAACGAGGCAAAATCAGGAGAGACAGGGGGAAGGTTTGGGAAGGCCATTTAGGGTCAAGACGGATGAAATCAGAGGTCCCCAAAGGCTCCATGGCACAGAGGGCCCACCAACCTGAGCTGAGGCTCCCAACCCTTTTCTAACACCTCCAGCACCTCATTTGATATTCTCCATATATGGAGAGGTTGAAACTGATGGTCCGTTAGTGAAAGCCTACACAGTCACTCACTCAGACTGCACAGGTTCATTGGATTTTAATAAAAATTGAGGGGAAGAAAAACCCTCTTAGTTTTTCTGGGTTTTCTTGTTCTCTCTCTTCTAACTCCTCTGGTGATTTTTCCAAAGCAGACTTCTTTGGAAATGTATTCAAGAATGTAAAAATCAAATAGCAAGGTACATTACGGATTGACCGCATAGAGCACTAGCCTGTGTGTAATTTGGTTTCAGAATCCCCTCAGACTGCTGGCTCCGGAAGAGCAGGCATTTATTTATGCATGGCAAAAGCTCTCCACAGTGGCACGGGCAATGGTAGGGTGGATCTGCAGTTTGTTTGTTTGTTGTTGTTGTTGTTGTTGCTGCTGCTGCTGCTGCTGCTGCTTAGTTTTTTTTAAGAGACAGTCTCGCTTTGTCGCCCAGGCTAGAGTGCAGTGCTGCAACCAGCTCCCTGTACCCTCAAACTCCTGCACTCAAGCAGTCCTCCCACCTCAGCCTCCCAAGTAGCTGGGATGACAGGTGTGCACCACCATGCCAGGCTAATTTTCTAATTTTTTGTAGAGACAAGATCTTGCGGCTGGGCGCGGTGGCTCACGCCTGTAATCCCAGCACTTTGGGAGGCCGAGGCGGGTGGGTCACGAGGTCAAGAGATCGAGACCATCCTGGTCAACATGGTGAAACCCCGTCTCTACTAAAAATACAAAAATTAGCTGGGCATGGTGGCGCACGCCTGTAGTCCCAGCTACTAGGGAGGCTGAGGCAGGAGAATTGCCTGAACCCAGGAGGCGGAGGTTGCGGTGAGCCGAGATCGCGCCATTGCACTCCAGACTGGGTAACGAGAGCAAAACTCCGTCTCAAAAAAAAAAAAAAAAAAGCTGATATCTTTATTATTGAGTTTTTTGCCACTTCCTTCAATTCTGTGCCCAAGGTGAGTGTCCCACTCCCCTATCCTATTCCCCGCCCATATTGAGACCTTGGCTCTCTGACACCCCATTTCCAGTTTGTCTCATGATGGTCTAGTGCCCCCTAGAGGCTGCCATGCCAGGCAGGACCCTTGCTGGGGGTCCCCAATGCAGCTCTGGCCCAATCCTCTCCCCCCACCACCCTCCCACCGCTTCCGGAAAGATTCCTGGTATTCCTGTCTCGGCTGCGACACTCTTCCACTCTAGCTGCAGTCGCCTGGGCCCCTCCACCTCTGACACCTTTTCATAAACATCCTCCACTGACTCAAGCTATATCCAGAATGTGTCTATTCATCACAATCTGAAAGCTTCCACCTAGTGAAGAATTCAGTACTGGGAAGGAGATGATGGGTGTGGACCTAGAACATGGGAACTGGCTGGGGCAGGTGAGGGAGCAGTGTGGCAGCAGAGGGACTCAGACATGAGAGCAGGGGCTTCCTGGCAAGAAGCTTCCTGGTTAGGAGGAAGCAAAGCTGCTGTCAAACTCACTGTGGGCCAGTGATGCCTTCAGGAATCTGCTCTAGGAGTAAGGAGTCACAGGACAGGCAGAGAGGAGACGGAAGGCACACAGAGGCATCCCACGTAAGTCCCCACCCCATCCCAAACAAGAGGGCCACCACCATTGCCCACTGATCAGCCACACAGTCCAAGCGCACATGTGACACAGAAGAAAACAATGACACAGGAGAGTCCCACATCCTCCCCCATCATTCACCCACAGGCAGATGTTCAAACTCAAGTCCTCTCTTATCCAGCTGCTTACCAGACACCAATGAAGAGAATTCTGCATTGAACGGTGTCTTTCCTGATTTCAGATAACTAAAATCAGCCAGGGGCAGTGGCTCACATTTGTAATCCCAGCACTTTGGGAAGCCAAGGGAGGAAGATCACTTGAGGCTAGGAATTCGAGACCAGCCTGGGCAACATAGCAAGACCCTGGATCTACAAAAAAAATTTAAAATGTGTTGGGCCTGGTGGTATGCATCTGCAGTCTCAGATAGGAAGCTGAGGTGAGAGCATCGCTTGGACCCAGGAGTCTGAGGTTTCAGTGAGCCGTGATCATACACTGTACTCCAGCCTGGACGACAGAGTGAGACCCTGTCTCAAAAAAAACACAAAACAAACAACAACAACAAAATCCTAGAATTTATTTGAAGGTCAAAGGCCAAAAGTGGCTTTGGCGAATAAAACTGAAAAAACTGTTTTCTGATCACCTGTCCAGGTTTATCACAGGTGACTTCCAGGAGGGCAAACCCCACGTTATCCTGAGACATAGACCAGACACCCCTCACCCCCACATCTGCCCCTTCTCTACTGTGCCCTACTCAGTTCATTGCCACGTTCAGTACTGAGTCAATAATTTTTACCCAATCTCCCTACATCCAAACCATCACTACAACCTGCTAGCCCCTCCAATGTATCTCAAATCTACCCACCTCTCTCCATCACCATGACTACCTCCCTGGCCCCAGCAACCATCTCCTCTCTCCTGGACCTCCACAAAAGCCCCCCATGTGGTCCTTTGACTCTCAATTCATCACACATTCTTAACATGCAAATTGGTTCAGCCCCACTGCTGAAAATGCCAGATCACTTTAGACCAGGAGTTCGAGACCAGCCTGGCCATCATGGCAAAACCCCATCTCTATAAAAATACAAAAATTAGCCAGGCCCCAAGGCGAGCACCTGTAATCCCAGGTCCTCGGGAGGCTGAGGCAGGAGAATCTCTTGAACCTGGGAAGCGGAGGTTGCAGTGAGCCGCTTCTCGCCACTGCATTCCAACCTGGGCGACAGAGCCAGACTCTCCCTCAAAACTAAATAAATAAAAATAAAGTTAAAATACTACAAATAAACTGGCAACATATATGGTTGCAATAACAGCATTTCGTCCTGAGCTCTATGTGATGGGGCAGGCGGCACGGGGTTGGATAGACTTCAGTGCAGCTTCCTAGCATTTCTGCAATCCTGGCGCGGGTGGTGGGGGCGGGGGGAATTTTGGTCAGTTCAGGTGGGAAGAGCAAAGCTCAGAGCTGAGTGCTTGCTCGCCTGTGGAAGTGCTTGGGGAACACCCAGCCACAGTGCACCCATGCAGCCTGCTGCGTCTGCAGGAACGTCTGTCCGTCCGGGGCAGTGGGTGTGGTTTACCCAAGTGCGTCTAGCCAAAGACACTCTCCAGGCTGCAGCCAGTTCCTAGAACCTTAATAGACCAGCGGCGGTAAAATCCTTTCTCCTTCAATATTGAGCAGCAATTTTAAAATTACAGGCCTGGAACGGTGATAGTAAGTATGTCATAAAAGCACCATTCTAGAAAAAAAAAAAAAAAAAAGGCTTTTATTGCAATGAAAATTTTAGCAGCAGGTTGCCCCTTGGTTTACATAACCCTCTCTGCAGGAACTTCCAGTGCTGAGTGCAGTTCCCATTTTCAACCAAAAAGCTCCCTCGGCCTTCCTGAAGCACTCGGAAGTGCCCTGAAGCAATAATCATTTGTGTATTGATTTGGGGGAGAATCAATCCAATCTCGTCCACCTCACTAAATTATGAATGGGGCCGAGCTCATCAGAAACCCCAAGGTGGTTAACAGGTAAGATTTGTTCTTTAACCCTCTTGGCTCCTGATATGGTTTGGATATTTGTCCCTTCCAAACCTTATGTTGAAATGTGACCCCTCCCCCCAATGTTGGAGGTGGGGCCTGGTGGGAGGTATTTGGGTCTTGGGAGTGCTCTCCACACCCTAATGAATGAGTGAGAGCTGACTGCTTAAAAGATCCTGGTGCCTGGGCACGGTGGCTAATGCCTGTAATCCCAGCACTTTGGGAGGCCGAGGCGGGTGGATCACGATGTCAGGAGTTTGAGAACAGCCTGGCCAACATGGTGAAACCCCATCTCTACTAAAAATACAAAAATTAGCTGGGCTTGGTGGCGCGTGCCTGTAATCCCAGCTACTGGGGAGGTCGAGGCAGGAGAATCGCTTGAACCTGGGAGACGGACGTTGCTGTGAACTGAGATCGCGCCACTGCACTCCCGCCTGGCGACAGAGCAAGACTCCGTCTCAAAAAAAAAAAAAAAAAAAAAAAAAGAGCCTGGCTCCTCCTCCTACTTCCTTCCTCCGTTGCCAGGTGGCACTGGCTCCCCCTTTGCCTTCAGCCTTGATTGGAATTTTTTTTTTTTTTTTTTAGACCTAGTCTCACTCCGTAGCCCAGGCTGGAGCCAGGCTGATTGCGCAATCTCAGCTCTCTGCAACTTCCGCCTCCCAGGTTCAAGTGATTTTCCCACCTCAGCCTCCCGAGTAGCTGGGATTACAGGTACCATGCCCAGCGTGTTGTTTTTATTTATTTATTTATTTATTTATTTATTTATATTTTTTGAGACAGAGTTTCACTCTTGTTGCCCAGGCTGGAGTGCAATGGCACAATCTTGGCTCACTGCAACCTCCGACTCCCGGGTTCAAGCGATTCTCCTGGCTCAGCCTCCCGAGCAGCTGGGACTACAGGGATGTGCCACCATGCCTGGTTAATTTTGTACGTTTAGTAGAGACGGGGTTTCTCCATGTTGGTCAGGCTGGTCTGGAACTCCTGACTTCAAGTAATCCGCCCGCCTTGACTTCCCAAAATGCTGGGATTACAGGCGTGAGCCAGCGCACCCAGCCAATTTTTGTATTTCTTAGTAAAGATGAGGTTTCGCTCTCTTGGCCAGGCTGGTTTGGAACTCCTGGCCTCAAGTGATCTGCTCCCCTCGGCCTCCCAAAGTACTAGGATTACAGACGTGAGCCACTGCGTCCGGCCATTCCGCCTTGATTGGAAGCCTCCTGAGGCCCTCGCCAGAAACAGATGCCAGTGCCAACCTTCTTGTACAGTCTGCAGAACTGTGAGCCAAATGAACCTCTTTTCTTTACAAATTACTCAACCTTAGGTGTTCCTTTATAGCAACACAAAATAGGTTACTACAGAGCCACAGGAATAAAAGTGACACCCTGGGACAGCCCTAGTCTCAAGGCCTAAATACAGATTGTGGGAACACAAGGTTGGAGGGGTGGATGAGGAAGGTCATGGGACAACCCTTCTGTCCCAAGGAGTGGCCCCTTCTTATTCACAGCAGGTGAGAGGAGCAGGCCGAGCTCACTTTCAACCCAAGTGAAAGCTCAAAGCAGCTGGCGGAGGGGCTCCAGGTGTCTGGTAGCAAGACCATCAGCCCTGGGAGAGACCCTGGGATTCCTTGTGGGGAGCAATAGGGAGAGGGCAGTGCTACCCTCAGTGGGCCCCTCCACCACACAGACAGCCCATCTTTATTATGAACTTAATCGTTGCATTTAAATCCACTCATTTTTATTTTATTTAAGAACAGTATTATGTTGGCTCAAATCAAATGAAACACCATTACACAGAGAAAGGGCTGGGGGAGTTGGCTCATACCTGTAATCCCAGCACTTTGGAGGGCCAAGGGAAGGATCACTTCAGCTCGGAGTTTGAGACCAGCCTGGGTAACTTAGTGAGACCTGCATCTCTATAAAAATAAACAAAATTAAAAAAAAAAAAAAAATAGCCAGGCACAGTGGTGGCCTGTAGTCCCAGCTACTCAGGAGGCTGAGGTTAGAGGGATAGCTTGAGCCCAGGAGTTCGAGGCCTGAGTGACAGAGTAAGACTCTGTCTCTAAAAGCCGGGAGGGAGAGGATTATTATGACACGTGAATTAAATATTTGAAAAAGAAAATAAAGTAGGTGAGGCAGGGTGTCTCATGCTGTAATCCCAGCACTTTGGGAGATTGAGGTGGGTGGATCACTTGAGATCAGGAGTTCCAGACCAGCCTGGCCAACATGATGAAACCCCATCTCTACTAAAAATACAAAAGTTAGCCTGGCATGGTGGCAGTCGCCTGTAGTCCCAGCTACTCAGGAGGCTGAGGCAGGAGAATCTCCTGAACCTGGGAGGTGGAGGTTGCAGTGAGCCGAGATTGCACCACTGCACTCCAGCCCGGACTACAGAATGAGACTTCGTCACAAAATAATAATAATAATAATAATAATAATAAGGAACTCAGTTTCCCACAAATGAAGTGCGACAATGCTTATGGAATTTACTGGTGTTGTCACGTTCCCCACCAATCTTAAACAGCTGGCTTGATAGAATGAATAGCGGAATGGCTTTTTTTTTTTTTTTTGAGATGGAGTTTTGCTCTTGTTACCCAGGCTGGAGTGCAATGGCGCAATCTCGGCTCACCGCAACCTCCGCCTCCTGGGTTCAGGCAATTCTCCTGCCTCAGCCTCCCGAGTAGCTGGGATCACAGGCACGCGCCACCATGCCCAGCTAATTTTTTGTATTTTTAGTAGAGACGGGGTTTCACCATGTTGACCAGGATGGTCTCGATCTCTTGACCTTGTGATCCACCCGCCTCGGCCTCCCAAAGTGCTGGGATTACAGGCTTGAGCCACCGCGCCCGGCATATTTTTTTTTTTTTTTTTTTTTTTTTTTTTTTTTTTTTTGAGATGGAGTCTCACTCTGTCGCCCAGGCTAGAGTGCAATGGCACAATCTTAGCTCGTTGCAACCTCTGCCTCCCCAGTTCAAGCAATTCTCTTGCCTCAGTCAGGCTCCTAAATAACTGGGATTACAGGTGCGCCCGGCTAATTTTTGTATTTTTAGTAGAGAGGGGGTTTCACCATGTTGGTCAGGCTAGTCTCAAACTCCTGACCTCTTGGTTTGCCCACCTTGGCCTCCCAAAGTGCGGGATTACAGGTGTGAGCCACCTCACCTAGCCCTATGGTTTACTTTTTTACTTTCTCTTTTAAAAAAATTAGGCTGGGTGTGGTGGCTCACACCTGTAATTCCTGTACTTTAGGCAGTCAGGCAGGCAGATCACTTGAGCTCAGGAGTTCAAGACCAGCCTGGCCAACATGGTGAAACCTCGTCTCTACTAAAAATACAAAAATTAGCATGGTGGCACGCGCCTGTAGTCTCAGCTACTTGGGAGGCTGAGGCAAAAGAATCGCTTCAACCCGGGAGGCTGAGGTTGCAGTGAGCAGAGATCATGCCATTGGACTCCAGCCTGGGGACACAGTGAGACTCCATCTCAATAAATAATTAGTAAAGAGAAAAAGAAAGGGAGAAAAGATTTCAAATCCTGTATCCAATAAGGGACTTTTTTTTTTCTTCTTTGAGATGAAGTCTCGCTCTGTTGCCCAGACTGGACTGCAGTGGCTAAGTATGAACCAGAAATAAACCAGTCCCACAATGACGCAAGCCCAGTTTCCAATAAATTCATCCCTGATTGGATCTAGGAGAATGCTTCTATCAGCACTGCAAAGCCTTACAAGTTTTCCCGGGCAATGTCAATCAAAAGCAACGAAGCTGCAAAGGCGCAATAATTGACTGGAAAACGAGAGAAACAAACAGAAACAATAAACCCAGACTCACAGAAGAGGCAGAAAGAATAACTGCTTCTGGGGAGGTGAATTTTACTACTTGGAACACAGCCTCATCCCATGACTGCAATTACTGCACTGGGACTATCCTATTGGGTTTGACAGGTGAATCCCTGGAGAATTTTTGTAAAAACTCCAATGCCTCACTCCTCCCTACCCGACCACCCGCAAATCCTCGGATGCACTTGCTTTGGAATAGCTCTCCACATGCAAATATGGGTGCAACCTCAGCTCGGGCAGCAGGCTTCAGCCTTCACCTGGCCGTCTGCAATGGGCGCAGAGTCCCCTGCGATCTTTCCCTGGCCTGGAGTTTCCGCGCAGTCATCAGACTGACGGTCACGCTGACCGGACTCAGTCCCACACCCCTCCTCTTGGGGCCGCCTTGGCCTCGCATTTGTGAAACGGCTGCACCCACTGCGCGGCTGCAGAAAGACGGGCAATCTGCAGTACTTTGCAAGACTCTGCTAAGCCCGGTGACCGTCGAGGATCGGCACCCGCGTGGGCTACCCCGAGCGGCCGCTTGAAGCCACGAAGACTAGCGCGAGAAACCCACGCCACAGAAACCGGCCTGGGAGGGCGCATCCACCGCCCGCCCTGCGGAAGCAGCCTGGGGGCGAACTCTGGCTCCGCGCTGGATTCGCATTGCTGCTTCTGCGCCCCCGCGCTTCCCACCGCTAGGCAGCACCATGGCAACCGCTGTCTCCCGGGTCCCCGTACCGCCCACGCCCCTCAGCGCCCGAGACCCGAGGAGGTGGAGTCTGAGGCCCGCCTGTCCCCGCCCCCTTGGCCGAAGCCACGCCCCGTTGCGGACCCAGATTCGTCGGCCTCTCGGGCTGTCCCTTACAGCCGCATAGTGCGGGGCAGCCGGGCTAGGGCTCGGGGCACAAAAGTGCAGGAGCAAAAGTGGGAAGAGCTTGGACGCTCGGTTGAGGCACCGCTGGGATTCGAACCCAGGATCTCCTGTTTACTAGACAGGCGCTTTAACCAACTAAGCCACGGCGCCACCCGTATGAGTGTCTTCCCGGATAACTCCTTATTACTATTAGCCTCTTGAGTCGCGCGCATGCGCACAGATTTGACCTGCTGCAGCGCACGCGTAGTGTAGCTTCCGATTCATATAAGCCTCGGAGACCCAGACCGGAAGCTCGGGCTACGCTGAGGAAGCCGAGTCCAAGAAGGCGAGGCTTCACGGCCACAGTAACGTCTCCTCTAACGTGGAGCCAGGACGCCCCGCCTTTGGGGAACAGTCGCGCAAGGACTGGACCTCAGGGTAGTGCGGCCGAGCCCCTACCCGCCCCGGAGAACCTCCGGCCCCGCCAGCGCGGCCTGCACACCCGCCTCTGTCCGACGGTGACCCGGGTAAGCTTCGGACCGTTCCGTCCCGCAACCTTAGCCTGGGAAGACCGGGGGCCCCGCCAGCTCCCGGGGCCATAACTTCAGTTGAGTCACTTCTCCCGCGGATCCTGAGCTGGGGAAAAGTCGAGGGGTCAGGAAGGCTCCGAGGAGGGGTCATGGGCTTCGGGGTTCCCAGGCTGCTGGCGTGGGGCACCGACACCTTATATGAAGGGGTTTCAGCTGCCAGAGCAGGCAAGGCCCTCTCCGCCCTGGTTCCTCACTTGCCCCTTCTGGGTGTCCTCACGCAGTTACACCAGCCACTGGTCCCCGCACTTTCCAGAGGGCCTGTGGGCAACGACGCAGCTGAACACTGCCAACCCATCCACCCACCATCCCTCCAGCATGCACAGAAAGGTTCACCCAGTATGGTGTGCACTAGGAACCTAAGCTGCTCTCTCAGCCTCTTTCTGGCTTGATGCACGCTGTGCACTATGCCTTGGGAGCCGGAAGAGGGCAGCGCATAGGCATGGGCGTTCTGGACATTGAGAAGTCTAGAGGAGACAGCATGAGACACCCCGTGATGGAAATGCCACCGCCACCCTCTTGGCACCTAACCAAGCTGTCCTCTGCTCCGGGCAGGTGGCCATCTGGGAGCATTAGCCAGGGAGGCACCCAGTGTCTTGCGCACACCGCGTCATATTCATATTGATGGTTCACTGATGGGTGAACCCATCCGTGGGGGCCGTGTTGACACCTGCCGTCTAGCCTCCCTCCACAGCCATGGGGGTGCATTATCTATGTCTGTTCATGTGTGCTAAGGCCTCAGATTCAACTGGGAGGAGGGAGGCCACTAGCGACGGAACCTCTCTGCAAGGAGACTCCAGTGGCTGGGAGGATATAAGTGGAGTTTTGCCACATTCATACATCATTCATGTAAATGAATGGATAAGCATTGAACAGACAACTTGAATCTGACCAGTCACCCCATTGTGACTGACAAGGATGGCATGGGACATGGGACCCACCCACATGACAATTGCCAGGCCATGGTGCTTATGCACAGAATTATTGGACGCCAGACAATTGACACTAGACATTATGTAATAATATATAAATCAGTCTTGCTGGGTTTTTTGCTCTGCTACGCATGCTCGAGTGCAGTGGCACAATCATATAGCTCACTGGCTGCCTGGAACTCCTGGGGCTCAAGCGATCCTCCTGCCTTGGCCTCCCAAGCAGCTGGGACTACAGGTGCACCACACACCTGGCTAGTATTTTTGTTTTTTGTGGAGAGGTCTTGCTGTGTTTCCCAAGCTACTGTCAAACTTCTGGCCTCAAGCTATTCATTTGCCTGTCTTCCAAAGTGCTGGAATTACAGGCAGGAGCCTCTGTGCCCAGGCTCAGTTAAGCTTTTTAAATGGACTAAGGGGCCTATTAATGATATTTGATGAGAATCATGTGAACCATACCAAGTGGAAAAGGGGGCCCATCTTATTAACGGAAAACTTGACTCTTTCTGGACTGATGCATGCTGTACAATATGCCGTGGCAGCAGGAAGAGGGCTGTGCATCGGCCTGGGAGTTCTGGAAATTGAGAAGTCTAGAAGAGACAATGTGAGACAGCCTGTGATGGCAGTGCCACCGCCACCCCCTTAGCTAACCAAATCATCGTCTGCCCCAGTCAGGTGGCCCTCTGGGAGCATTAGCCAGGGAGGCACCCATAGTATCTTGCTTTCACGTCCACAGAGGGGGCCCCATGCCTTGTCATATTTATTTGACAAACCCTTTCTCCAGAACTACTGGTGCCAGCCCCCACGGGTCACCTTACAGGACAACTCCAGACTCCATAATGTGAGTCAAATATGTGTTCCAAAAATCAAACGGGATGAACACCAAGACATAAAGCTTAGGAAATAGCAAGACTGCTTTTCAAATGCACACGCACACTTGTTTTCCAAAGGAATTAGATTTATTTTGCGTGAAAACAGAAAATAAAGTGTTCACTTCCCAAGCGCTGAGAGCCCAGCCAAGGCTTGTGTTCTGCCCCAGTCTAACAGGACTACTGAGCCTGGGAGGGGTGCAAGAGAAAGTCCCTGCAGAGCCCCGAAACCTGCATGCTAGGTAGCCTGTGCTCATGCCACCCAAAGGGTCCTGTGGCTGTCAGTCACCCTTGCTTCCCCTCGGCAACGGTGAGTTCTCGCTTTCCAATGATGATGATGATGAAGTCTCCGCTGGCAAGCCCCTTGTATCTATCCGGCAGAACACGCATTGGGTGAATATTTCAGAAGAGGTGTCACTCTCAAAGATGGAGAAAGGCCTGTCACATCTTTCGCACTGACATGGAATATTTTAAAATAACAGAAAGGAGGTGCTCATCAGAGGGGTTCCAGGCACATGATTAGAATTCTCCCACCTGATCCAGCTACGTTGAGCAAGGCAAGGCAAGGCAAGGGCTCCCTTCTCTGGAATCTCTTTTTTTTTTTTTTTTTTTTTTTTTTGAGACTTAGTTTTGTTCTTGTTGCCCAGGCTGGAGTACAATGGCCAAATCTTGGCTCACTGCAACCTCTACCTCCCGGGTTCAAGTGACTCTCCTGCCTCAACCTCCCAAGTAGCTAGGATTACAGGCTTGCACCACCGTGCCTGGCTAATTTTGTATCTTTAGTAGAGATGAGGTTTCTCCGTGTTGGCCAGGTTGGTCTCGAACTCCCTCCTCAGGTGATCTGCCCGCCTTGGCCTCCCAAAGTGCTGGGATTGCAGGCGAAAGCCACCGCACCCAGGTGGAAGTTCTTTCTTTTAAGTATCTACACAGCTCACCCCCTCACCACCTTCAAATAGAAATAGCGGCCACCTCAATGAGACATATCCTAACCAACTTTTAAAATCTTGCAACCTCCAGCACTCCTATTCCCTTTTCCTGTGTATTTTTCTATCAATTACTTAACACCAGGTGACTTACTACACATTTTTCTTGTGTCTTTCTTCTTTGTTTCCTCTTTTAGAATTTAAGCTCCGCTGGGGCAAAAATGTCGGTCTGTTTGTTCACGTTTGCATCCCTAGGTGCCCAAAGTTTGTTTAAATGACAAATTATAGAGGGAACTAATGAAAGCTTTCACTGGGCTTCATTTTACCCAATACCAACCTGTTTCAACTTTAAGCCCATGGCCTTTTTGTACTTGATTACCAAAGGAATTTGCTCAACTTCTTCAATATTCCACAGTCTCATGGTCCTATCCTAAAACAAATAGGAAACCAGTGGTCATAAAACAGGCTGCAGTACCTCCATATAAAGGATATCATTCAACAGTCAAAAGACTTGGGCTGTCAAGGCACAGAAAGAGGAACCTTCAATGCACGTTGTTAAGCCAAAGAAGCCAGCCTGAAGAGGCCATAGAGTGTAATTCCAACCACTTGACATTCTGGAAAAGGCAAAAGTAAAGAAAGTAAATAGATCAGTGGTTGCCCAGGATGATGGGGAAGAGGAGGAGGGATGAACAGTAAAATTATTCTATATGGCTGGGCACGGTGGCTTATGCCTATAATCCCAGCGCTTTGAGAAGCAGAAGAAGGTGAGGTCAGGAATTCGAGACCAGCCTCACCAATATGGGGAAACCCCATCTCTACTAAAAATACAAAAATTAGCCAGGTGTGGTAGCATGTACCTGTAGTCCCAACTAGTTGGGAGGCTGAGGCAGGAGAATGGCTTGAACCCAGAAGGCGAAGGTTGCAGTGAGCTAAGATCGTGCCACTGCACTCCAGCCTGGGCAATAGAGCGAGACACTATCTAAAAACAAAAGACAAAAAACAAACAAAAAAAAAAACTATTCTGTATGACACTGTATTGGTAGACATATGGTACTCATTTGGCAAAACCCATAGACCTATACAACACAAAGCGTGAAACAATGTAAACCATGGACTTTAGTTAATAATAGTTCCCGAAAGGAATGCATTCTTGTTGACACCTAGATTTTAACCCAATGAGAACTTGTCAGACTTCTATCTTACAGAAATGTAAGATAGTAAATTTGTGTTGGTTAATGTTTAAACAGTACAGTCCTGTAACTTAATATAGCAGCAATAAAGAAATGGATACACTGAGTATGTTACATTTCTTTTTTTTTGTTTGTTTGTTTGTTTGTTTGTTTTGAGACGGAGTTTTTGCTCTTGTTACCCAGGCTGGAGTGCAATGGCACGATCTCGGCTCACCGCAACCTCCGCCTCCTGGGTTCAAGCAATTCTTCTGCCTCAGCCTCCTGAATAGCTGGGATTACAGGCACACGCCACCATGCCCAGCTAATTTTTTGTATATTTAGTAGAGACGGGGTTTCACCATGTTGACCAGGATGGTCTCGATCTCTTGACCTCGTGATCTACCCACCTCGGCCTCCCAAAGTGCTGGGATTACAGGCTTGAGCCACTGCGCCCGGCCGAGTATGTTACATTTCTTGATTCAGCAGTTGCAATTAAATGTCCTGTGGGAGAACAAAGGGCACATGTTGGTAACAGATGTGTTGGCTTCAGGCTGTGTAGAGCTGTCAGATCTTACCAATAAGCGTACTTTCTACATTATAGCAAGTGGCTTGCCAAATCATGGTAATGAAAAATTCTTCCCAGCTCTTAGATATTGTCATTCAAAAGTTAGTTTCAAGCTGGGCATGGTGGCTCACACCTGTAGTCCAGCATTTTGAGAGGCATATGCAGGAGGATGGCTTGAGCCTAGGAATTCAAGACCAGCCTCGGCAATAGAGTGAGACCTCGTACCTACAGAATAAAAAAAAAAATGTTAGGCTAGGCATGGTGGCTCATACGTATAATCCCATCACTTTGAGAGGTCAAAGCAGGCAGGCAGATCACCTGAGGTCAGGAGTTTGAGACCAGCCTGGCCATCATGGCAAAACCCTGGCTCTACTAAAAATGCAAAAATTAGCCAGATGTGGTGGCACGTGCCTGTAATCCAAGCTACTCAGGAGGCTGAGGTATAAGAATCATTTGAACTTGGAGGGCAGAGGTTGCAGTGAGCCGAGATTGTGACTTCATTAACAAATACCTAGTCTTTTACCTTTTTTTTTTTTGAGATGGAGTTTTATTCTTGTTGCCCAGGCTGGAGTGCAATGGCATGATCTTGGCTCACTGCAACCTCTGCCTCCTGGGTTCAAGCGATTCTCCTGTCTCAACCTCCCGAGTAGCTGGGGTTACAGGCATGTGCCACCATGCCTGGATAATTTTATATTTTTAGCAGAGATGGGGTTTCTTCATGTTGGTCAGGCCAGTCTTGAACTCCTGAGCTCAGGTGATCCGCCCGCCTCGGCCTCCCAAAGTTCTGGGATTACAGGCATGAGCCACCATGCCCTGACAAATACTTAGTCTTTTAAAATAAGCTTGAAGACTTAGTACATTTAGACATTTTTGGAATACTGGGAAATAAAACCTGCAACTCAAAGAACCTGTTTTTGCCAGTAAGTAAATTTTTTTTTTTTTTTTTAGATGGAGTCTCACTCTAATGCCCAGGCTGGAATGCCATGGCTTGATCTCAGCTCACTGCAACTTCCACCTCCCAAGTCAAGCGATTCTCCTGCCTCAGCCTCCCAAGTAGCTGGGACTATAGTCGTGTGCCACCAAGCCTGGCTTATTTTTGTATTTTTAGTAGAGATGGGGTTTCACCATGTTGGCCAGGCTGGTCTCGAACTCCTGACCTCAAGCGATCGGCCTGCCTCTGGCTCCCAAAGTGCTGGGATTACAAGTGTGAGCTACCACACCCAGCCAGTAAGTAAAATCTTAAGTATCCATGCTCAAATGCTTTTCCTGATGGGATATTTAGCTTGAAGTTATCACATTGGGTTGACACCAGGAATCAGTATAATGTGGGCTTGATAAGAACAGAATGTAAGTTGGAGCGAATTTTACATTTGACAGTGTTCAGTTTTACCACTACAGAAACTAAAAGGATATCCTAGGGGCTGCAGGCAGTTCAGAGAAGTATTATTTGCCATGGAAACAGAAAAGCAAAAATATCCCACTGTATTAAGGGACAGAAAGAAACATGTCATTGTTGGGTTGGTTTTTTTTTTTTGAGACGGAGTTTCGCTCTTGTTACCCAGACTGGAGTGCAATGGCGCGATCTCGGCTCACCGCAACCTCCGCCTCCTGGGTTCAGGCAATTCTCCTGCCTCAGCCTCCTGAGTAGCTGGGATTACAGGCACGCACTACCATGCCCAGCTAATTTTTAGTATTTTTAGTAGAGACGGGGTTTCACCATGTTGACCAGGATGGTCTCGATCTCTTGACCTTGTGATCCACCCGCCTCGGCCTCCCAAAGTGCTGGGATTACAGGCTTGAGCCACCGCGCCCGGCCTGGGTTTTTTAATTGAAGTAAAATATATACAATATAATACCTTCTTTTTTTTTTTTTTTTTTTTTTTGAGACGGAGTTTCGCTCTTGTTACCCAGGCTGGAGTGCAATGGCACGATCTCGGCTCACCGCAACCTCCATCTCCTGGATTCAAGCAATTCTCCTGCCTCAGCCTCCTGAGTAGCTGGGATTACAGGCACGCGCCACCATGCCCAGCTAATTTTTTGTATTTTTAGTAGAGACGGGGTTTCACCATGTTGACCAGGATGGTCTCGATCTCGTGACCTCGTGATCCACCCTCCTCGGCCTCCCAAAGTGCTGGGATTACAGGCTTGAGCCATGGCGCCCGGCCTATAATACCATTTTAACTGGCTTTTTTATTTTTTTTGAGATGGATTCTCGCTCTGTCGCCCAGGCTGGAATGCAATGGCGCGGTGTTGGCTCCCTGCAACCTCCGCCTCCCGGGTTCGAGCGGTTCCCCAGCCTCAGCCTCCTGAATATCTGGGACTACAGGCACACCACCACACCCAGCTAATTTTTGTATTTTAAATAGAGATGGGGTTTCACCATCTTGTCCAGGCTAGTCTGAAACTCCTGACCTTGTGATCCGCCCACCTTAACCTCCCAAAGTGCTGAGATTACAAGCGTGAGCCACCATGCCCGGCCCATTTTAACTATTTGTAAGTGGGCCGGGCGCGGTGGCTCAAACCTGTAATCCCAGCACTTTGGGAGGCCGAGGCGGGTGGATCACGAGGTCGAGAGATCGAGACCATCCTGATCAACATGGTGAAACCCCGTCTCTACTAAAAATACAAAAAATTAGCTGGGCATGGTGGCTCGTGCCTGTAATCCCAGCTACTCAGGAGGCTGAGGCAGGAGAATTGCCTGAACCCAGGAGACGGAGGTTGCGGTGAGCCGAGATCGTGCCATTGCACTCCAGCCTGGGTAACAAGAGCAAAACTCCATCTCAAAAAAAAAAAAAATTAAAAAAAAAAAATAATAATAATGCTACTATGAACACTGGCATATAAGTATCAGTAAGCCCCTGCCTTCAGTTCTTTTGAATATAAACCCAAAAGTGGAGTTGCTGGATCATATGGTAGCTCTGTTTAAGCTTTTGAGAAACTGCCAAACCATTTCCCACAGCAGCTGCACTGTTTTACATTCTCATCAGTCACACACAAGGGATCCAATTGCTCCACGTCCTTTGCCAACATTCATTATCTTCTGAGTTTTTTTTTTATTATGCCCTCCTAATAGATGCGAAGTGTTATCTCACTGTGCTTTTTGTTTGCATTTCCCTAATGATAATGATGTTGAGCATCTTGTCATAGGCTTCTTGGACATTGGTATATCTTCTTTGGAGAAATGTCTGAGTCTTTTGCCCATTCTTGAATTGGGTTGTTTGTTTTCTGTTGTTCCGTTTTCGAAGTTCTTTATGTATTTTATATATTAATCTCTTACCAGATACATGCTGTGCAACTATTTTCTCCCATTCTTGAAGTTGTCTTTTTGCTTTCTTGATGGTATCCTTTGATGTACATTCCCAGGCAGCTCCGTGAACGCGATGGCCCAGCCAGGTACAGATACCTCACCGAACCCACCCGGGACGTTTACACTTGCCAGTAACTCTCCCACTGTCACCAATTCTGATGAATATGATGGATATGGTAAGTCACTCCAAGCTTGGCCACTTTTACCTTGGAAGCAGACAGGATCCATTTCTTGTTGTTGCTGACGGCAACATCCGTCACCCAGTCATTATGGCCCTGAAGAAATAACAAATTTTCATGAGAACATGGAGAAAAATTATTTTGAAAGAACAACCGAAACAATCTGTGTGTGGTGGCTCACACCCATCATCTGCCCTTTGGATGCCGAGGTGGGAGGGTCACTGGAGCCCAGAAGGTGGAAGTTGCAGGGAGCCGTGATCATGCCACTGCACGCCAGCCTGGGCAACAGAGTGAGATCCCCTATCTTAGAAAACAACAGGAAGTCAAGAGTCCAGCGTTAGCCGGGCGCGGTGGCTCAAGCCTGTAATCCCAGCACTTTGGGAGGCCGAGGCGGGTGGATCACGAGGTCAAGAGATCGAGACCGTCCTAGTCAACATGGTGAAACCCCGTCTCTACTAAAAATACAAAAAGTTAGCTGGGCATGGTGGTGCGTGCCTGTAATCCCAGCTACTCAGGAGGCTGAGACAGGAGAATTGCCTGAACCCAGGAGGCGGAGGTTGCGGTGAGCCGAGATCGCGCCATTGCACTCCAGCCTGGGTAACAAGAGCGAAACTCCGTCTCAAAAAAAAAAAAAGAGTCCAGCGTTGCTTACATTTAAAAGTAGCTGGCTGAGCGCAGTGGCTCACACCTGTAACCTCAACACACTGCGGGGTTGAGGTGCACGGATTCCTTGAGTCTAGGAGTTTGAGAACAGCCTGGGCAACATAATGAAACCCCGTCTCTACTAAAAATACAAAATATTAGCTGGGCATGGTGTCATGTGCCTGTAATCCCAACTACTCAGGAGGCTAATGTGGGAGAATCACCTGAGCCCGGGGAGGTTGACGCTGCAGTGAGTCATAATCATGCCAATGCACTCCTGCCTGGGCGACAGAGTGAGACTGTCTCAAAAAAAAAAAGGCGGGGTGTGGGGTGCAGGTGTGGTGGCTCACGCCTGTAATCCCAGTGCTTTGGGAGGCCAAGGCGAGTAGATCACGAGGTCTGAAGTTCAAGACCAGCCTGGCCAACATAGTAAAACCATACTAAAAATACAAAAATTAGCCAGTCGTGGTGGTGCGCACCTGTAGTCCCAGCTACTCGGGAGGCTGAGGCAGGAGAATCACTTGAACCTGGGAGGCAGAGGTTGCCCTGAGCTGAGATCAGGCCACTGCACTCCAGCTTGGATACAGTGAGACTCCGTCTAAAAAAATAAAAAGGAAAGAGCAGGGCCGGGTGCGGTGGCTCAAGCCTGTAATCCCAGCACTTTGGGAGGCCGAGGCGGGTGGATCACGAAGTCAAGAGATCGAGACCATCCTGGTCAACATGGTGAAACCCCGTCTCTACTAAAAATACAAAAACATTAGCTGGGCATGGTGGCGTGTGCCTGTAATCCCAGCTACTCAGGAGGCTGAGGCAGGAGAATTGCCTGAACCCAGGAGGCAGAGGTTGTGATGAGCCGAGATCGCGCCATTGCACTCCAGCCTGGGTAACAAGAGCGAAACTCCGTCTCAAAAAAAAAAAAAAAAAGGAAATAGCAGAACGGCTTTGTACTTCCTTGGTTTCGTCAACAACATTTAGGGTAGAATACAAAGTGTAAAGACGTGATATATGCACATTTTTGTTTTTGTTTTTGTTTTTGTTTTTTTGAGACAGAGTTTCACTCTTGTTACCCAGGCTGGAGTGCAATGGCGCGATCTCGGCTCACCGCAATCTCCGCCTCCTGGGTTCAGGCAATTCTCCTGCCTCAGCCTCCTGAGTAGCTGGGATTACAGGCACGCGCCACCATGCCCAGCTAATTTTTTGTATTTTTAGTAGAGACGGGGTTTCACCATGTTGACCAGGATGGTCTCGATCTCTTGACCTCGTGATCCAACCACCTCGGCCTCCCAAAGTGCTGGGATTACAGGCTTGAGCCACCGTGCCCGGCTGTTTTTGTTTTTTTTTTTTAATGCGTGAGGTAGGACTGGATTGGGATAGGGGACGGGCAGGTGGAGGTGGGGACAGGGCTTGTTTCAGGGCTGGAAGGAGGGTGAGCACTGAGGTCTGTTGTTGCTTCTGTTTGTTTGTTTGTTTGTTTGTTTTTTGAGACAGAGTTTTGCTCTTGTTGCCCAGGCTGGAGTACAATGGTGCAATCTCCGCTCACTGCAACCTCCACCTCCTGGGTTCAAGTGATTCTCCACCCTCAGCCTCTCAAGTAGCTGGGATTATAGGTGCCCGCCACCGTGCCCAGCTAATTTTTGTATTTTTAGTAGAGACAAGGTTTCACCATGTTGGCCAGGCTGGTCTCGAACTCCTGACCTCAAGTGATCCGCCTGCCTCAGCCTCCCAAAGTGCTGGGATCACAGGCATGAGCCACCACACCCAGCCCGTTCTTTGTTTATGTATTTAGTTATTTTTATTTTGAGACATGGTCTCACTCTGTTCCCCGGGCTGGAGTGTAGCAGCTCAGTCATAGCTCACTGCAGCCTCAACCTCCTGGGCTCAAGTGATTCTGCTGCCTCAACCTCCCGAGTAGCTGGAACTACAAATGTGTGTGCCCCTGTGTATGTTTTTTTTAAATAGTACTCGGGTATTTAGCAGGATGAGGGGAGAAATACTATATTCCCAGTTGGTCTCAGATTTTCGTTTACATTCTTTGTTCTAGGAAATACGCCTCAGAGGCCCTGTAAATGCGGGGGCTTTTGGCTTCCAGTAACTGCAAACTTGATCCACTGTGGCTTAAGCAGAGGCAAGAGTGGGATGTTTTCTTTGGGTAAAAAGGAACTCAGAGCAGATAGATGCCATTGCTGCCTCAGACACTGAATGATGTCTGGCTCTACGCCAGCATCTCTCTCCTTCTTTGGCCTTCTCCATGTGGAAAGAGGCAGAAGGTGAGACCATGGTGTGGTCAGAGGAAAAGATTAAACTGCTTATTATAATAAAGGGATAGGAATTTGAGGATGGGAGAACAGAGAGAGAGGAGAGAAGAGGAGACAAAATAGAACAACCAGGTCTGTTACCCAGGCTGGAGTGCAGTGGCACAATCTCGGCTCACTACAACCTCTACCTCCCAGGCTCCTCTAGTGATTCTTTTTTTTTTTTTTTTTTTTTTGAGATGGAATTTTCCTCTTGTTGCCCAGGCTGGAGTGCAATGGCAAGATCTTGGCTCACCACAACCTCCACCTCCCAGGTTCAAGCGATTATCCTGCCTCAGACTCCTGAGTAGCTGGGATTACAGGAACCTGTCACCATGCCTGACTAATTTTTGTATTTTTAGTAGAGACGGGTTTTCACTGTGTTGGCCAGGCTGGTCTCGAACTCCTGACCTCCAGTGATCCTCCAGCCTCAGCCTCCCGAAATGCTGTGAGATTCTAGGCATGAGCCACTGCACCTGGATGACAGAGGGACTTTAAGCACCGAGAGGTTTAACATTCCATTTCAAGCTGTTTATTTGCTGTGAGCAAACTCATTTTGCCTCCCCAAGTCCTAGGAGAAGACAGCTCAGACAGACCAGCCCCAGGGACCTGAACATGGGCTGCTCAAGGACACACGTCCGTTTGTGTCCCTGGGCACAGAAAGACCAAGCATTCACAGTCAAAGGTGACAGTGAGATTGTGAAACCAGGGAGAAATCCTGGGTGCAGGGCCCCTTGGGGAGCAGGGGCACAGCATGAGGCAATCCAGGGATCTTGCTGTGTTGGATAACACATCCTCTTATCATAGAGCCACTCGGAGTTGGGGTTCCTCTCACTTGCAGCCAAGAACATTCAATTGACACCCCCATTTTGGAAGCCCAAGCCTTTCATGCCATCCCTCTGCACAGTAATTTCTGGTTTTTTGTTTTGTTTTGACTTGTTTTGTTAGAGGTGGAGTCTCACTCTGTCGCCTAGACTGGAGTGCAGTGGCACGATCTCAGCTCATTACAACCTCCGCCTCCCGGGTTCAAGCGATCCCCCCACCTCAGCTTCCCAAGTAGCTAAGACTACAGGTGCACACCACCATGCCCAGCTGATTTTTCTATTTTTAGTAGAGATGTGGTTTCAGCATGTTGCCCAGGCTGGTCTCAAACTCCTGACCTCAGGTGATCCGCCCACCTCAGCCTCCCAAAGTACTGGGATTACAGGCGTGAGCCACCGCATCTGGCCCTGCACAGTAACTTCTGCTGTTCTTGGACACTCCCACCTCGGGGTTTTTGCATTGGCTGTTCCATCTGCCTGGAATCCTCTTCTTCTTCGAGATCCCCACCTATGCAGTGCTTTCTTTCCACCCAGTTCTCAGCTCAGACACTTCCTTCTCCAGGAAGCTCTCCCTGCCCCTGCAATGTCGATGGGTCCCCCACGTCTGTACCCATCATGTCACCCTGTTGTGGTTTCTCCATTTCACTCCTCACAGCCAGTGGTGTGTCTGCTGGCCTCTTGTCTATCCTTCATCAGCTCACGGGAGGCATCTAGGTCTGTGTCACCCACAGCTGTGTCCCCAGCACCCAGCACTGAGCATGGGAAAGACTCAGGAGGGAAGCTCAGATCCTCCATCTCATGCTGGCCACGTGTACCTTCAAGGAGAGCTTCCGGTAGCCTTCTGCTACATCCCAAATAGCCACAGTCCTATCAAACCCTCCAGAAATGAGAAAAGAGCCTGCAACACAAAATGAAAGGGTGGAGATGGGGGTCATCTTTCCAAACCAAGTCAGCCCAAAGCTGGCTGAGGATGCCTTGGCAAGGCACCACCTCAGCTCACTCTGACTACACTAAAACCCTTCCTGGGGCAGCTCCACAACCCCAAGCCAATTACAGCTGATTCTCATCATTCACAGTAGTTATGTTCTATGGCAGGGGTCCCAAACCCTGGGCCACAAACTGGTACCAATCTGTGACCTGTTGGGAACCGGACCACACAGCAGACAGTGAGCGGCAGGCAAGCAAGCCAAAGCTTCATCTGTATTTACAGCTGCTCCCCATCACTCGTATTACTACCTGAGCTCCGCCTCCTGTCAGATCAGCAGCTGCATACGATTCTCATAGGAGCGCAACCCTATTGTGAACTGTGCATGCAGGGGATCTGGGTTGCACGTTCTTTATGAGAATCCAAAGCCCGATCTATCACTGTCTCCCGTCGAACCCAGATGGTACTGTGTAGTTGCAGGGAAACAAGCTCAGGGCTCCCACTGACTCTACAGTATGGTGAGTTGTGTAATTATTTCACTATACAGTACAGTGTAATAATAATAAAAATAAAGGGCATGCTTGGATCATCCCGAAAGTTGTCTTCCATGAAATTGGCCCCTGGGCCCAAAAAGGTTGGGGACCTCTGTTCTATAAAGTTGACACAGATGTGGAATTAGCGAATACTGAACCATTGCTCCCAGGTGAAATACAGGGCCAGGTTCCTGTGAGCCTCTGTTCACAGCATGCCTCTCAGCTGATCAGTACATAATCTTGTTCTATGTGTGTTTCTGTTTAAAGACAACTAATTGAATATATACTGTTGATTCGTTTACATTGAACTCACAGCCAACATCACTATAACTCATGCCTGAGTGAATGCATGTATTTTCCCAATCATAGAATTCTTGCTCTTAGGATAGTAAACAGCCCTTCAGCATTGTGGTTGGGGACCATTTTATTTATTTATTTTTTATTTTTTTATTTTTTTGAGACAAAGTCTTGCTCTGTCACCCAGGCTGGAGTGCAGTGGTGCAATCGTAGCTCATAGCAGCTTCAAAATCCTGGACTCAAGCAATCCTCCCACTTCAGCTCCCAAGTAGCTGTGACTCTAAGCGTGTGCCAGCACACCTGGTTAATTTTTTTTTTTTTTTTTTTGGTAGAGATGGGGTCTCACTATGTTGCTCAAACTCCGGGGCTGAAGCGATGCTCCCGCCTCAGCCTCCCCAGAGCTGGAATTAAAGGCGTGCGCCACCGCACACAGCCAAAGGAGTCATTTTACACAGCGAAATCACTAACAAGCAAGACAAAGGTGAGGTGTGGTGGCTCATGTCTGTAATCCCAGCACTTTGGGAGGCTGACCAACAAGGTTGCCATGCTCCCAAAGGTTGCCTGACCAACATAGCAAAACCCATCTCTACAAAAAATACAAAAATTAATTGAGCGTGGTAGTGCACACCTGTAATCCCAGCTACTTGGAAGGCTGAGGCCGGAGAATCATTTGAACCCAAAAGGCAGTGGTTTCAGTAGTCGGGATTGCACCACTGCACCCCAGCCTGGGCAACAGAGGGAGTAAAGAAACAAACGAACAAACAAGAAACAGTGGCACTATACAGACCACAAAAAGGACACTTTACCACGTGAGAGGTAAAACAAGGAGACGGAATGTTGCCTTGTCCAACCTCAGCTGGGAGGTGACTTAGATTTTTTGCTGCTCTTCACACCTGTGAGTGACCTTGAAAGTGCCGTGAATGGCCGGGCACGGTGGCTCAAGCCTGTAATCCCAGCACTTTGGGAGGCCGAGGAGGGTGGATCACGAGGTCAAGAGATCGAGACCATCCTGGTCAACATGGTGAAACCCCGTCTCTACTAAAAATACAAAAAAATTAGCTGGGCGTGGTGGCACGTGCCTGTAATCCCAGCTACTGAGGAGGCTGAGGCAGGAGAATTGCCTGAACCCAGGAGGCAGAGGTTGCAGTGAGCTGAAATCGCGCCATTGCACTCCAGCCTGGGTAACGAGAGCGAAACTCCGTCTCAGAAAAAAAAAAGAAAGTGCCATGAATGTTGACTTTAGGTTTACAAATAGAGATCAGCAAGTAGGTGAATTCACAAACACAGAATCTGGAGTAATCATCATTGACTGCACATGATTCTTTTTTTTGAGACGGAGTCTTACTCTGTCGACAGGTTGGAGTGCAGTGGCGCGATCTTGGTTCACTGCAACCTCTGCCTCCCAGGTTCAAGCAATTCTCCTGCCTTAGCCTCCCAGTAGGTGGGACTACAGGCACGCGCCACCATGCCCAGGTAATTTTTATATTTTGAGTAGAAACTGGGTTTCACCATGTTAGCCAGGATGGTCTTGATCTCTTGACCTTGTGATCTGCCTGCCTCTGCCTCCCAAAGTGCTGGGATTACAGGAGTGAGCCACCATATCCGGCCTCCTTTTTTTTTTTTTTTTTTTTTTTTTGAAACGGTCTCACTCCATCACCCAGGCTGGAGTATAGGAGCACAGTGGTGTGATCTCAGCTCCACTGCATGTGATTCTGAATCCCCTAAAGCCAAGTACCGAAGCTGGCGGAGCGCCTCATGGTGGGACTTAGATAAGGGGTGTTGCTGAAGAGGTAAAGTTGCCTGGAAACACCCTAGCGCTTCTCAAGCCAGGCCCCAATGACGTGTGTGTCAGCTGGGGCCCCTAGACACACAGAGCAAGCTCCACTTCTCACCAGGATAGCGGAACATACGTTTGGCTCCTGGGTGTTGATAGCACCCCCTTCCCTCCCTGGGGCTGGCTAGCCGTGGTGGCTTCCTGTCCCTGTCCCCATTTACATCTTTGTCCCGTCACCTGGCAACAGCTCCCCAATTTCCTGTGGGGAAACACTCCTTGCCAACTCTTGACTCTTAGTCCCTCTGGATCGGAGGGTTCTAACCTCAAACCCTAGCTCTGGAGGTGGGCAAGTCATCCAGACCTGGCCAATCAGAGGCTTTCATTCCCTGCTAAGTGATTCATTAAGAGATGGGCATGTGTCCCAAGCTGAGCCAGTGGGAGTCTTCCCTGGGACTTGTTCTGGCATTATCAGACAGAGGTTTCTCTTCAGGACTGCCAGGGGCCAGAACCAGGCTGGCTGGAGCACTAGGGGTCAGCTTCATCTCTTTCATTATATATGTATTATATACATAGATATAAAATATATTTTAACATTTTATTATATATAAAATCAGAGGTAGGAGATATATATAGATATAGATATAGATATATGTTTTTTTTTTTTCCCCAGAGATAAGAGTCTCACTCTGTCACCCAGGCTGGAGTGCAGTGGTATAATCTAGGCTCACTGCAGCCTCTGCCTACCAGGTTCAAGTAATTCTTCTGCCTCAGCGTCCTGAGTAGCTGGGCTTATAGGTGCCCACCAGCACACCTGACTAATTTTTGTATTTTTTAGTAGAGACGGGGTTTCACCATGTTGGCTAGGCTGATCTTGAACTCCTTACCTCAGGTGATCCTCCCACCTCAAGCTCCCAAAGTGTTGGGATAACAGGTGTGAGCCATTGTGCCAGACCTTTTTTTTTTTTCTTTTTCAACACAGGGTCTCACTCTGTTGCCCAGGCTGGAGTGCAGTAGCACAATTCTAGCTCACTACAGGCTCAAACTCCTGGGCTCAAGTGATCCTCCCACCTCAGCCTCTTAAATAGCTGAGACTACAGGTGTGTACCACCACACTCAGCTAATTTTTAAACTTTTTGTAGAGACAGGGTCTTGCTATGTTGCCCAGGCTGGTCTTGAACGCCTGACTTCAAGCAATCCTCCCACCTTGGCCTCCCAAAGCTTTGGGAGCCACCGCACCCAGCCATCTTTGCCACCTTCTGTGTAAAGGCTGATACAGAGGGAAGCTAGGTTGAGAGAGTGAAGAACTGGGTTCCCAACAGTGTTAACTCTATTGTCCCATCCATACCTGATGTCAGACCTGCTCTTGGACTTCTCCATTACAGGAGTTAATTTCTTGGTTGTGTAAGCCACATTGAGCAGAGTTTCTGCCACTATAAATTTGTGCCTATGGTCTTCCCTCTTGACTTTTTTGTTCTTATAGGGAAAAATCCCCCCTCCCTGTCAGCATCATTGGAAATCACCTCTCTGTCTGCACTGAGGAGAGTCCATTTGAATGGAAGATGAACTCTGTCCAGCATTCCCACAGGAGTGGAGTCCTTCTGCGTGTTAATTACTTACTGTCTCTGGCAAAATGACAGGAGCTGACGGAACCTTCATGGCCCTGCATCAGGGTCACACAGGCTCCACAGTTTCGAAACTCCCCTGTGTGGACGTTCCATATTTTTAAGTTTTTATCCCAGGAGCTTGTACACAGGAAGTGGCCACTGAAGGTAAAACAGCAGTTTGAGATTGCATTGGAATGCGCCCTGAAACACAGATGGTGGGGTGCAGACATTAGTGCTTTGCTCCTGGAGGACCTGAAGACATACCTAAAGCGGGGGGTATCGTCTCCTGCGAGCTCATGGTCGGGGTACACATGCTAGCACTTTGCCCCAGGAGGACCTGAAGACAACCTAAGCAGGGGTCAGCGTCTCCTGGGAGCTCACATCCATCATGCCTTGGATCACTGCCTACCATAGTCCAGATATGAATTGCTCAGACTGTCATGCTATTCCAGCATTTCTCAAAACATGATGAGACAGTGTTTTGCTATGTTACCGAGGCTGCTCTCAAACTCCTGGGCTCCAGTGATCCGCCAGCCTTGGCCTCACAGAGTAGTACTGGGATTACAGGCTTGAGCCACCACACAGGCCAACATTGTTTATAAAGCAAACATAAGACTCTGAAGGGTGCAGGGAAGAGGCCGAATAGTTAGGGGTCTTGACACCCAAGCAACACCCACCATGGGTACCTTGGTTTCCTTTTTGTATCACATTTCCTGGACCAGGTGCTAAAAAGCCAGCAACCAAAAACTAAACTACAGGCCAGGAGCAGTGGCTCCCACTTATAATCCCAGCACTTTGGGAGACTGAGGCTGGTGGATCACCTGAGGTTAGGAGTTCGAGACCAGCCTGGACAACATGGCGAAACACTGTCTCTACTAAAAATACAAAAATTAGCCAGGCATGGTGGCACATGCTTGTAATCCCAGCTACTCGGGAGGCTGAGGCACTCCTGCCTCATTGTACCTGGGAGGCAGAGGCTCCGGTGAGCTGAGATCACACTACCATACTCCAGCCTGAGCAATAGAGCTGGACTCAGTCTCTAAATAAATAAATAAACTACAAACCATAGTGAGTGAAGGCAAGAGAAAAAAGGGAGGACTGTCTACTAAAAATACAAAAGTTAACTGGGCGTGGTGGCACGTGCCTGTAATCCCAGCTACTTGGGAGGCCTAGAGAGGAGAATTGCTTGCACCTAGGAGGAGAGTGCAGTGAGCTGAGATTGCACCATTGCACTCCAGCCTGGGCAACAAGCGCGAAACTCTGTTTTAAAAAAATTGATTTTTAAAAATGGCTGAAATTTTACAAAATTTGGCAAAATATATAAACCTACAGCTTCAAGAATCTTAGTAAAACCCAACAGGATAAATCCAAAGAAATCTACACTTGGACACATAATTACGCTTCGGAAAACTAAGGACAACAAAACTATCTTGAGAGCTGCAAGAGAGAAATGACTTTTTTACCTAGAGGAGAAAAACAATATGAATGAGAGAGGATTTCTTTTTTTTTTCTTTTTTTTTTGAGAGAGTTTCGGAGTTTTGCTCTTGTTGCCCAGGCTGGAGTGCAATGGCGCAATCTCAACTCACCACAACCTCTGCCTCCCGAGTTCAAGCAATTCTCCTGCCTCAGCCTACCCAGTAGCTGGGATTACAGGCGTGCACCACCACATCCGGCTAATTGTGTATTTTTAGTAGAGACGGAGTTTCTCCATGTTGGTCAGGCTGGTCTCAAACTCCCGACCTCAGATGATCCACCTGCCTCAGCCTCCCAAAGTGCTGGGATTACAGGCATGAGCCACCATGCCCAACCCGAAAGACAATTTCTCTTTTGTTGTTGTTGTTGTTGTTTTTTTTTTTTTTTTTTTTTTTTTTTAGACAGAATCTTGCTCTGTTGCCCAGGCTGGAGTGCAGTGGTGCAATCTCAGCTCACTGCAACCTCTGCCACCTGGGTTCAATCCTCCCACCTCAAGCTCCCGAGTAGCTGGGATTACAGGCACCCGCCACCATGCCAGGCTAGTTTTTATATTTTTAGTAGAGATGGGGTTTCACCATATCATCCAGGCTGGTCTCAAACTCCTGACTTCAAGTGATCTGCCCTCCAAGGCCTCCCAAAGTGCTAGGATTACAGGCTTGAGCCACCACGCCGGCCTCTTGAATTTTCTGAATCATGTTTGGCAATTGAAGCTAAAAGTTATGAAAAGTACTTAAGGTGTACCCTTTGCAAGCTTCAAAATCAGTTGAGATTATGAATGTTTTAAATCCTCTAGCAAGACCCACTATATCATTTTCAGGTCTTAATGCAAAATTCAAAAGCAAGGTCCCCATTCCTGAAAACGCTAAGCACAGTATTACCATATGATCCAACAATTCTACTCCTGGGTATACAGTGTAAAGAATTAAAAGCAGGCCAGGTGCAGTGGTTCACATGTGTCATCCCAGCACTTCGGGAAGCCAAAGTGCGAGTATCACTTGAGCTCAGCAGTTCAGGACTAGCCTAGGAAACAAAATGAGACCCCATCTCTGCAAAAAATTTAAAAATTGGCTGGGCATGGTGATGTGCGCCTATCGTCTCAGCTACTCAGGAGGCAGGAGGATCACTTGAGCCCAGGAATCTGAGGCTGCAGTGAGCTATGATCATGCCACTGCACTCAAGCTTGGGCAACAGAGCAAGACTCTGTCTCAAAAATTATAATAATAAAATATAAAGAATTGAGGCTGGGCATGGTGGCTCATGCCTGTAGTCCAAGCACTTTGGAGGCTAAGGCGGGCGGATCACCTGAGGTTGGGAGTTCAAGACCAGCCTGACCAACATGGTGAAACCCCATCTTAAATATATATATATATATATATATATATATATAGAATTGAAAGCAGGAACTCAAAGTCACATGTACATGTGTCCATAGCAGCATTTTCACAATAACTGAAACAATGTCAGAGTTCATCAGCAGATGAACAGATCAACAAAATGTGGTGTATACACCCACAGTGCAATACTGTTCAGTCATCAAAAGAAATGAAGTTCTTAATCCCAAGACTGTGGGAGACCAAGGCGGGTGGATCAGAGTTCATGTGTCCATAGCAGCATTTTCACAACAACTGAAACGTCAGAGTTCATCAGGAGATGAACAGATCAACAAAATGTGGTGTATACACCCACGATGCAATACTGTTCAGTTACCAAAAGGAATGAAGTTCTTAATCCCAAGACTGTGGGAGACCAAGGCGGGTGGATCACCCGAGGTCAGGAGTTCGAAACCAGCCTGGCCTACATGGTGAAACCCAGTATCTACTAAAAATACAAAAATTAGCCAGGTGTGGTGGGACATGCCTGTAACCCCAGGTACTCAGGAGGCTAAGACAGGAGAATCTCTTGAACCTGGGAGGTGGAGGTTGCAGTGAGCTGAGATGGCGCCACTGCGCTCCAGCCTAGGCGACACAGCGAGATTACCTCTCAAAAAAAAAAAAGGAATGAAGTTCTGATGCAGGCTACAACACAGATGAACCTTCAGGGTAGAGACAAAGTAAACTAAAGGTTGCTCGGGGCTGGGGGCATGGGGAGTGGGAGTTATTGCCTAATGGGTAGAGAGCTGCTGTCTGAGATGATGAAATCGTTCTGCAACTAGATGGTGATGACAGTTGCACAACACTGTGAATGTAATGAATGCCAGCGAATTGCACACTTAAAAATGGTTAAAATGTCAAGGTTTATGTCATATATATATGTATTACCAGCATTTTTTTAAATGATAATGTAATATCTCTGAAACCACTTAATTCATTTTATTTATTTAATTTTTGAGACAGGGTCTTCATTGTCCAGGCTGGAGTGCAGTGGTACAATCAGAGCTCACAGCAGCCTCAAACTCCTGGACTCAAGCAATCTTCCAGCCTCAGCCTCGTGAGTAGCTGGGACTACAGGTGTATGACACCACGCCCAGCTAATGTTTAAATTTTTTGTGGAGATGGGGTCTCGTGACATTGCCCAGGCCGGTCTTGAACTCCTGGCCTGAAGTGATTCTCCCACTTTGGCCTTCCAAAGCTCTTGGATTATAGCCATTAGCCATGAGCCCAGCCAGACCTTCCCATTTTATAGGAGATGGTGGAAGTTCACATTCTGTGGGCTTCTCTGCACAATGGTTTCCACTAGTGGCTCACACTGAAACAAATGTATATGAGGCCCAGCCCACAAGTCACAGCTGATGGCTCCCCCAGCCTGCCCACTCCCAGCCTTCTCCTCGTACCCATGACCAAGCTATAGACGTGTCCACATGGACGCTGGCTTGTGTGGAATCCAGGAGGGCACGGATGGGGATGCCCCGCCCAGCTCCCTTTTGGCTTCCTGTGGCCCAACTCACTTAGTGATGGTGAGCAGCGTGGCCTGGGACCTAACATCCCAGATCTTGATGCACCTGTCCAGTGAGACAGAAGCCACCTTCTGGCTGTCGGGGTCAAAGCAGCAGGACGTGATGGACCTTGTGTGATGATCTGCAGAGCACGGAAAGGGAATCGAGATCATGCCTTCCTCATGCCGGGCTGGAGGTAGAGTGTGAGATGGGCTGTTGGGGGCTATTAGGGAAGCTGTGGGGCAGTGCACATGGCATAGTGCCACATCGATAAAAAGAAACAGAAAGCACATATGAGAAGCAATGCTGTGTGTGCAAATACATGTACACACAGGTACACATACAGGGTTCAGGAAGGCTGCCCAGCAATGTATAGTTCATAAAAGGTACCTCTGGGGAGGAGACAGGACTGACACAACAGCCTTTTGCTTTTTTCCTTACATAATGAATTTTTTTTTTTTTTTTTTTTTTTTTTTTTTTTGAGACAGGGTCTTGCTTTGTCACCCAGGCTGGAGTGCAATGGCTTGATCTTGGCTCACTGCAACCTCCTCCGCCTCCCGGGTTCAAGCAATTCTCCTGCCTCAGCCTCCCAAAGAGCTGGTATTATAGGCGCCCACCACCACACTTGGCAAATTTTTGTATTTTTAGGAGAGACAGGGTTTCACCACGTTGGCCAGGTTGGTCTCAAACTTTTCTGCTCAGGTGATCCACCCGCCTCAGCCTCCCAGAGTTCTGGGATTACATGGCATGAGCCACTGTGCCTGGCTGATAATGAATATCTTTACAATGATTACAGTTTTTTAAACTTTAATTTTAAGATAACTGTAAACTCACATGCAGATGTAAGGAATAACAGAGAGATCCCCCCATGACCTTCACCCAGCAGCCCCCTTGGGAACATGTGGCATCACCCTCGCACAATGTCCCAACCAGGAAACTGTCATATGACAATTACTATTTCTATATTTTAAAAATAGGGTAGGCACAGTAGCTCAGGCCTGTAATCCCAGCACTTTGGGAGACCAAGGTGGGCAGATCACCTGAGGTCAGGAGCTCAAGACCAGCCTGCTCAACATGGTGAAACCCTGTCTCTACTAAAAATTACAAAAATTAGCTGGACATAGTGGCAGGCTCCTGTAATCCCAGCTACTCAGGAGGCTGAGGCAGGAGAATCTCTTGAACTGGGGAGGTGGAGGTTGCAATGAGCACCACTGCACTCCAACCTGGGTGACAGTGAGACTCCATCTCAAAAAAAAAAAAAACAGGCTGGGTGAAGGGGCTTCTGCCTATAATGCTTCACTTTGGGAGGCTGAGGGAGGAGTATTGCTTGAGGCCAGAAGTTTGACATCAGCCTAGAAACATAGCGAGACCCTGTCTCTGGGAAAAACAAAAAAACAAAAAACGGTAAAAATCTTAAGACGGCCAAGCCTCCACTCAATAAAAGATTAGGCTTAATGACCACATGAGGTTGGAAATGAACATTGCATCATTTGTTAAAAGCACAAGACTGAATGAAGGGAAAAGCATTAACTGAAGAGGATCTGTGTTGGTGTGTTTTTTGTTTATTGACTGATTTTTTTTTTTTTTTTTTTTTTTTTTTTTTTTTTGAGACAGAGTTTCGCTCTTGTTACCCAGGCTGGAGTGCAATGGCGCGATCTCGGCTCACCGCAACCTCCGCCTCCTGGGCTCAGGCAATTCTCCTGCCTCAGCCTCCTAAGTAGCTGGGATTACAGGCATGTGCCACCACGCCCAGCTAGTTTTTGTATTTTTAGTAGAGACGGGGTTTCACCATGTTGACCAGGATGGTCTCGATCTCTCGACCTCGTGATCCACCCGCCTCGGCCTCCCAAAGTGCTGGGATTACAGGCTTGAGCCACCGTGCCCGGCTGACTGATTTATTTTTGAGAAGGAATCTCACTCTGTCTCCCAGGCTGGAGTCCAGTGGCTCAATCTCAGCTCATTACAACCTCCACCTCCGGGAACAAATGATCCTCCCGCTTCGGCCTCCCAAGCAGCTGGGGCTTTAGGTGCATGCCATCACACCCAGCTAGTTTTTGTTTTGTTTTCAGTAGGGACAGGGTTTCACCCTGTTGCCCAGGCTGTTCTCAAACTCCTGGGCTCAAGCAACTTCCCAAAGTGCTGGGATTACAGGTGTCATCCCAGCCACCACCCCCAGCCTAGTGTCCCAGCTTCAATGACGTGCTTCATACCATTACAGTTTCACCAAATAAAGCTATGGAAGGTCACTGTCAGTGACAAGTGGCTATTCCTGGGGCAGACTGAAGAGACAGGCCCACACACCCTCACCTTTGACAACGGAAATGGTGGTGATGTTCTCAGCATCTATGATGCAGATTCCGTGATCCACGTCGAAGCCTGAGACCACATATTTACCATCAGGAGAAAACTTACAGGAGACGATGAAGGTGTCATACCTGACCTTCCACTGAAATGGAGCAACAATCAAAAGGTGGTTTTAGGCCAGGTGTGGTGTGTCACACCTGTAATCCCAGTGCTTTGGGAAGCCAAGGCTGGAGGATCGCTTGAGACTGGGAGACTGAGACCTGCCTGGGCAACATGTAAGGTCTCCATCTCTACAAAAGTAAAAAATTAGCCAGGTAAGCCTGGGTACGGTGGCTCACGCCTGTTATCCCAGCACTTTGGGAGGCTGAGACGGGCGGATCATCTGACGTGGGAGTTTGAGACCAGCCTGACCAACATGGAGAAACCCCATCTCTACCAAAAATACAAAAACTTAGCCAGGCATGGTGATGAATGCCTGTAATTCCAGCTACGCAGGAGGCTGAGGCAGGAGAACCACCTGAACCTGGGAGGTTGAGGTTGCAGTGAGCTGAGATTGTGCCACTGCACTCTAGCCTGGGCAACAAGAGTGAGACTCTGTCTCAAAAAAAAAAAAAAAAAAAAAAATTAGTGAGGTGTAGTTGGTGCTCACCTGTAGTCCCAGCTACTTGGGAGTCTAAGGCAGGAGGATCATCTGAGCCCAGGAGTTTGAGGCTGCAGTGAGCTATGATGGCGCCACTGCACTCCAGCCTGGGTGACAGAGCTTGCAAGACCCCGGCTCAAAATAATAATAATAATCATCATCAAATAAAAACTTGGCTTATCTTGCCTTTATAAAAATGTTTACAATGAATATGAATTGGCCTTTGCACTAACAAGAAAGGTTGTTTTTCAACGAAAGGAAGAGGAAAGGCCTGTAGGAGCTGAGAGGGAGGGACAATAGGGGTGAGGCAGGAGACCCCAGGGAGGCCCCTGAGCAGGGCTGCGGCTACCTGGAGGGGGAGCAGGGCCGGGTGGGAGTCTTGGGCCTGTTGGATGGACAGAGAGTGGCCCCCTCCAAGAGAGAAAGAGAACAGACTGGTAAGGGCCAGAACCTTGGTTCTGGGGGGCACAAAGCCTTTCTCCCATGGCCTCAGCCCCACTTCCTGCCTATTCAAATCCAAACGTCTTACAGGGGAGTCTGGAATACCAGCCCCCACACCCCACCCTGATTCTGGCTTCATTCTGTGTATCCAAACCCTTCCCATCTTTCAAGCAGAAGCCTTCGTTCCATCTGCCTCCTCCAGGAATCTTCCTCCCCCAGTGCCCACCCTCCACCCCCTGCACGCTCCAGACTTTTTGCAAGCAATGGCTGCTGTAGGGTGCAGGTCACATCTGCACATTCCATCCCCAGGAACATGCTTCCTTCCTAGAAGAGGAGCTTTTGTCACCTCCCCCGACCCTGGGGCCAACCCAAAGCTGCCTAAGGCTGGGTCAAGCCCCTGGGCCCCAGTGCTGGGCAGGCATACATACCAGCAGCTTCCCTGTCTCCAGGTCCCAGGCCCTCACCGTCTTATCATGGGAGGCGGCAATGACTCTGAAAATAAAATGACAAACATTGGTTCTTTTCTTTTTTTTTTCTTTCTTTCTTTTTTTTTTTTTTTTAGGAGTTTGGCATCCCTCTGTCACCCAGGCTAGAGTGCAATGTGTGATCCCGAATTACTGCAACCTCCACCTCCCAAGTTCAAGTGATCCTCCTGCCTCAGCCTCCCCAGTAGCCAGGATTACAGGAGCCTGCCGCAACGCCCAGCTAATTTTTGTATTTTTAGTAGAGAAGGGGTTTCGTCATGTTGGCCAGGCTGGTCTCAAACTACTGACCTCAAGTGATTCACCTGCCTCGGCCTCCCAAAGTGCTAGGATTACAGGTGTGAGCCACCACACCCGACCAGATAAACATTGATTCTTTACAACAGAGACAATTAGGACAGAGTTTCACTCTTGTTGCCCAGCCTGGAGTATAATGGTGCAGTCTCGATTCACTGCACCCTCTGCCTCCTGGGTTCAGGCAATTCTCCTGCCTCAGCCTCCCATGTAGCTGAGACTACATGTGCCACCACGCCCAGTTAATTTTGTATTTTTAGTAGAGACGGGGCTTCTCCTTGTTGATCAGGCTGATCTCAAACTCCTGACTGCAGGTGATCCACCCGCCTCAGCCTCCCAACTGTTTTCCTCTTCTAAAGGGATCTCTACACCCAGAAAAATCGATCACTTTCCTCTCTGCTCACATATCTGTCTTTTTACAGGAATATAGTTCAAGAGACTATTTTGTTCTGAAATGTTTTCTTGTACAAAAAACACAAATGTATTCTTGTCTTCTTACATGGCATGTTCCTGTGTGGAAAGTTTGTCCTGTATATAAGACAAATTCCCGGCCGGGCGCGGTGGCTCAAGCCTGTAATCCCAGCACTTTGGGAGGCCGAGGCGGGTGGATCACGAGGTCAAGAGATCGAGACCATCCTGGTCAACATGGTGAAACCCCGTGTCTACTAAAAATACAAAAAATTAGCTGGGCATGGTGGCGCGTGCCTGTAATCCCAGCCACTCAGGAGGCTGAGGCAGGAGAACTGCCTGAACCCAGGAGGCAGAGGTCGCAGTGAGCCGAGATCGTGCCATTGCACTCCAACCTGGGTAACAAGAGTGAAACTCCGTCTCAAAAAAAAAAAAAAAAAAGACAAATTCCCAGGCGGGTATGGTGACTTATGCCTGTAATCCCAGTAATGTGGGAGGTCGAGGCAGGCAGATCACCTGCGGTCAGGAGTTCAAGAACAGCCTAGCCAACATGGTGAAACCCCTTCTCTACTAAAAATACAAAAATTAGCAAGGCTTGATGGTGTGCACCTGTAGTACCCAGGAGGCTGAGGCAGGAGAATCACTTGAACTCAGGAGGTGGAGTTTTCAGTGAGTCAAGATTGCACTACTGCACTCCAGCCTGGGCAACACAGCAGAACTCCATCTCAAAAAAAAAAGATAAATTCCCATGAAACTTACATTCTCATATCAGTTTTCTACTAACTATTTTATAGCTGCTGTTCAGGGTTAAAGTAAATCAATTTTAAAACAAATTCCTGGTGGGGGTGATGGCTCATGCCTACAGTCACAGCATTTGGGAGGCCAAGGCAGGAGGATCGTTTGAGCCCCGGAGTTGGAGGCTGCAGTGAGCTATGATTGCACCACTGCACTCCAGCCTGGGTGCAAGATCCTATCTCAAAAACAAAAACAAAACAGGCCAGGCACAGCGGCTCATGCCTGTAATCCCAGCACTTTGGGAGGCCAAGGCAGGACTGTTTGAGCCCAAGAGTTTGAGACCAGCCTGGACAATGTGGCAAAACCCTGTCTCTACAAAAATTAGCCAGGTATGGTGGTGCACACCTGCAATCCTAGCTTCTCAGGAGGCTGAGGCAGGAGGATCACTGAGCCCAGGAGTTCGAGGCTGCAGTGAGCCGTGTTTGCACCACCACATTCCAACCTGGGCAATAGAGCAAGATCCTGTCTAAATAAAAAATTAAAATTAAAAAAGCCCAGGAGTGGCAGCTCATGCCTGTAATGCCAACACTTTGGGATGCCAAGGCAGGAGGAGAATTGCTTGAGGCCACAGGTTCAAGACCAGCTTAGACCACATGGTGAGACTCCATGTCTATGACTTAGAAACATCACAGGCATGCCTATACGTGGTCTGCCTGCTCACCCTCCCTCTTCCCAGTGTAAGACGAGGGAAAGGTCACCTGCTGCTGTCGGTTGTGACGCTGCACTCTACAACAGGAGCTTTGGGCCTGGGCTCAAAATCACGAACCACAGAACCATCCACCGCATCCTCAAATCAATGGGAGAGAGAGGGGGAGAGAGTGGTCACTGCCGTGGTCACTGAAGTTGTAAATCGAGGTCAACATTAGCCCTTAGCTTGTCTCTGGTAGCAAAATCCGTGAACTCTATGGTCCTGGGACTCTCATTCAGCTCCAAAAGATGAAAGAACTTTGCAACATGTCCCCTGAGTGGGACGGACATCCTTGCCATTCACAGCATCCCCCACAATTCCGCAGACACCAGGTGGAAACTGGCCATGCTGGGGGCAGAGCTGCAAACAGATCATGCTTTCCTTTCCTACTGGCCAAAAAGGCTGTGCAGAATCTAGCAATATCTTCCAGGCCAGGTGCAGTGGCTCACACCTCTAATCCCAGCACTTTGGGAGGCTTAGGTGGGTGGATCGCCTGAGGTCAGGAGTTCAAGACAAGCCTAGCCAATAGAGTGAAACTCAGTCTCTACTAAAACTATAAAAAATTAGCCAGGTGTGGTGGCTCACACCTGTAGTTCCAGCTATTCAGGAGGCTGAGATAGGAGAATTGCTTGAACCCAGGAGGCAGAGGTTGCAGTGAGCTGAGAGCGAGCCAGTGCACTCCAGCCTGGGTGACAGAACAATACTCCATCTCAAAAATAAATAAATAAATTAAAAGGACAAAAATTAGCTGGGTGTGGTAGCAGGTGCCTATACGTAGTCCCGGCTATTCAAGAGGCTGAGGCAGGAGAATCACTTGAACCCCAGAGATGGAGGCAGCAGTGAGCCGAGATCGTGCCATTGCACTCCAGCCTGGGCGACAGAGTGAGACGCTGTCCAGAAAAACAAAGGGAGGGAGGAAGTAGAGAGAGAGAGAAAGAAAGGAGGGAGGGAGGGATGGAGGAAAGAAAGAAGAAAAGAAAAAGAGAAAAAAAAGAAGAAAAGAGGCCGGGCGCGGTGGCTCAAGCCTGTAATCCAAGCACTTTGGGAGGCCGAGGCGGGTGGATCACAAGGTCAAGAGATCGAGACCATCCTGGTCAACATGGTGAAACCCCGTCTCTACTAAAAATACAAAAAAAAACTAGCTGGGCGTGGTGGTGCGTGCCTGTAATCCCAGCTACTCAGGAGGCTGAGGCAGGAGAATCGCCTGAACCCAGGAGGCGGAGGTTGCGGTGAGCCGAGATCGCGCCATTGCACTCCAGCCTGGGTAACAAGAGCGAAACTCCGTCTCAAAAAAAAAAAAAAAAAGAAGAAGAAGAAGAAAAGAAAGAGCGAGAAAGAAAATGTCTATCTTGGGGTGTGGGACCGAGGCTCATGCACGGACTCTGGGCAGGCCCATCCAGGGCCAGCTCAGGGCAATACACTGGAATGGATCAGTGTCCGCAGGGCTATGCAGCTTTAGACTCGACAGTGACACCACGTAGCCGAGAGCAGGAACAGCGACTGTACACATGTGGGCCCACCCCCTCTACACTGGGCATTTGGAAGCACGACCCCACCCCTGTGGACCCAGACAATTTAAGGGGGAAATACTGGTTAGACTTCAAATGAATGAGGGAAAGGGGGGCTAATAAATAGTTGGAAAATAAAAGGGATGTGACAATATTTGGCATCTAAGTTTATGGTGGGTACATATTCAGTATTTCTGTACGGTCCCAATTTCTTAAATGTATGCAGATGTACGTGGACAAGAAAAAAACACACATGCCAACATTTTCACAGCAATTAACTCTGCGGTCATGGAAAGATGAGGTTTTATTTCCTTTCTGTGTTTTCATACGTTTCCTGTAATAAAAGCATATCACCTTTGTAATAATATGAAAAAAACTACCAATTTTTTTTTTTTTTTTTTTTTTTTTTTTTTTTTTTTTTTTTTTTTTTTTAGACAGGGTCTTGTTCTGTCACCCAGGCTGGAGTGCAGTGGCAAGAACATGTCTCACTGAACCCTTGACCTCCTGGACTAAAACCAGGAGAGAGATGACATCCTAGGCCCCAACACAGACGGGACTTCCATTCTCTAAAAAAGGTGTGGGTGGGGTGTCTGGGCGCAGTGGCTCATGCCTGTAATCCCAACAATTTGGGAGGTCGAAGCAGGTGGATCACTTGAGGCCAGGAGTTTGAGACCAGCCTGGCCAACATAATGAAGCCTCATCTCTACTAAAAATAAAATAAAATAAAATTAGCTGGGTGTGGTGGCATGCCTCTCTAGTCCCAGCTCCTAGGGAGGCTGAGGCAGGAGAATCACTTGAACCGAAAGGCAGTGGTTGCAGTGAGTAGAGATCCTGCCATTGTTCTCCAGCCTGGGCAACAGAGCAAGACTCTGTCTCAAAAAAAAAAAAAAAAGAAAGAAAGAAAAAGAGAAAGAAAAAAGGTGTGGGGGCCGGGCATGGTGGTTCACACCTGTCATCCCAGCACTTCGGGAGGCTGAAGCAGGTGGATCATCTGAAGTCAGAAGTTCAAGACCAGCCTGGCTAACATGGTGAAACGCTGTCTCTACTAAAAATACAAAATTAGCCAGGAGTAGCAACGCACACCTGTAGTCCTAGCTACTCAGGAGGCTGAAGCAGGAGAATCACTTGAAACCGGGAAGTGGAGGTTGCAGTGAACTGGGATCATGCCATTGTACTCCAGCCTGGGCAATAAGAGCAAAACTCGATATCAAAAAAAAAAAAAAAAAAAAAAAATGGGTGCGGTGCTCTCAGTCTAAAGGTCTCCATCCCATTCCCACTGTTTCCAGGTCCACAGGCTGGGAGCAGCCACCCTAACTTCACCCAGGCTGGCCTCCCCTTTCTTCTGGTACTTTGCTCAGAAGACATGCAAACCTGGACCCACAGTGCCTGTGAGTTCAGGGCTGAGGAACTCAACATAGGAGGTGCCTAAGTTCAGGAGACGTTTTGGCTTCGGGAGCACCTAACCGCGGGCCACCTACCCACAGCTTCACGGTGCAGTCATAGGAGCCACTGAGGAGCTTTGTGTCATCTACACAGAAGTGGCAAGTGCTCACAGCGTGCTCGTGGCCACTCAGAATTTTAAACGGGATCTGATAAAAGAGAGACCAGATGAGTTCAACATGTTGTAGGACACAAGATCAACGTACAACACAATTTTATTTCCAAACACTTGCAATAAACCACCTGGAAAAAAATGAATTTTAAAAATTCTGGCCGGGTGCGATGGCTCACACCTGTAATCCCAGCACTTTGGGAAGCCAAGGCAGGCAGATCACTGAAGTCAGGAGTTCAAGACCAGCCTGGCCAACATGGCAAAACCTTGTCTCTATTACAAATACAAAAATTAGCCAGGCGTGGTGACACACACCTGTAATTCCAGCTACTCAGGAGGCTGAGACAGAATTGCTTGAACACAGGAGGCGGAGGTTGCAGTGAGCCAAGATTGCACAACTGTACTCCAGCCTGGGCCCAGAGTGAGACTCCATCTCAAAAAAAAAAAAAAAAAAAAAAAAATCTGGCTGGGCACGGTGGCTCATGCCTGTAATCCCAGCACTCTGGGAGGCTGGGACAGGAGGATTGCTTGAACCTGGGAGTTCAAGACCAGTCTGGGAAACACAATGAGACTGCCTGTACACATTTTTTTTTTTTAATGGTCGCTCACACTTATAATCCCAGCCACTAAGGAGGCTGAGGCAGGAGGACTGCTTGAGCCCAGGAGGTTAAAGTTACAATGAGCTATGATTGTAGCACTGCACTACAGCCTGGGTGACACAGGAAGACCCTGTCTTTAAATAAGTTAATTAAAATTAAAATTTAAAATAGGCCAAGGATTTGAATAGATATATCTCCAAAGAAGATATGCAAGGGCTGGGCATGATGGCTCACTCCTGTAATCCCAGCACTTTGGGAGGCTGAGGCAGGCGGATCACTTGAGGCCAGGAGTTCAAGACCAGGCTGGTTAACATGGCGAAACCATCTCTACTAAATAATAATAATAAAAAAAAATAGCCAGCTGTGGTGGTAAACTCCTGTAATCCCAACTACTGAGGAGGCTGAGACATGAGAATTGCTTGAACTCGGGAGGCAGAGGCTGCAGTGAGCTATAATGTCACTGCAGTCCCAGCCTGGGCAACAGAGTGAGACCTTGTCTCACAAAGAATGAAAGAAAACGAAGATATGCAAACAGCTGACGGCACATGAAAAGCCGCTCAACATCACTAAGGAAAGTGCAAATGAAAACCACAGTGTGGCTGCGTGGCCTCACGGCGCCGGCGTGCGTAGCGTCACGGCGCCGACGTGCGTGGCGTCAGGACGCCGGCGTGCGTCGCGTGTCATGGCGGTCTGCGGAGCTACATTCTCCTCATATAGACCTGGGGGGAAAGGCGAGTGCGGAGCAGCGTTCTCCAGGGCACAGACTGGGGGACGCCCCTCACTTTGGGACACCTGGATCCCGTGTCCACGTGAGTAAAATCTTTCCTGTTTGCCTCCCTGACTGCTGAGGGGCAGAGACCCTTCGTGTGGAAAATTAGAAACCCCATCTCTAACCAAAAAGACAAAAACTAGCCTGGCGTGGTGGTGTGTGCCTGTAGTCCCAGCTGCTCGGGAGGCTGAGGCAGGAGAATTGCTTGAACCCAGGAGGCAGAGGCTGCAGTGAGCCGAGATTGCACCACTGCACTCCAGCCTGGGCGACAGAGCCAGACTCTGTCTAGAAAAAAGAAAACCACCGTGTAATACCGTGTCATATTCGTTAGGATGGATATCATCCAAGTCCCGTTACAGCAGGTGTTGGCAAGGATGAGAATAGTTGAAGTCTTCCCACACCGCTGGTAGGAACGTAAAATACTGCAGCCACTTTGCAAAATAGGCAGTTCGGCCAGGTGCGGTGGCTCACACCTGTAATCCCAGCAATTTGGGAGGCCCAGGCAGGTGGATCACCTGAGGTCACGGGTCTGAAACCAGCTGGCCAACGTGGCGAAACCCTGTCTCTACTAAAAATACCAAAATTAGCCAGGCATGGTGGTGCTTGCCGGTAATCCCAGCTACTAGGGGGGCTGAGGCAGGAGGGTCGCATGAACCTGGAAGGTGGAGGTTGCAGTGAGCCGAGATCGTGCCACTGCACTCCAGCCTGGCGACTGGAGTGAGACTCCACCTAAAAAAAAAAAAAAAAAAAAAAAAAAAAAAAAAAAAAAAAAAAAAGTTCATAGCATTAAGTGGATGCAACCCAAATATCTATCAACTGAAGAACAGGTAAGGAAAATGTGGCGGCTGGGCGCGCCTGTACTGGCTCACGCCTGTACTCCCAACACTTTGGGAAGCCGAAACAGGTGGATCACCTGAGGTCAGGAGTTTGAGACCAACCTGACCAACATGGAGAAACCCCATTTCTACTAAAAATACAAAATCAGCTGGGCATAGTGGTGAATGCCTGTAATCCCAGCTACTCGGGAGGCTGAGGCAGGATCGCTTAAACCCTGGAGGCGTAGGTTGCGGTGAGCCCACATCGCGACATTGCACTCCAACCTGGGCAACAAGAGGGAAACTCCGTCTCAAAAAAAAAAAAAAAAAAAAAACGTGTCACGGTCACGCAACAGAATATTACTTGGTAATGAGAAAGGAAGGGAGAACCGCTACAGGCTACAACATGGATGAACCTTGAGGACGTTATGTTAAGGAAAAGAAGCCACAAGAGACCACATACGGCTTGATTCTATCGCTGTAAAAGGTCTAGAATAGGACAGAAAGTAGAATTGCCTGCAGTCGGGAGGATGGGTATTGGGGAACTGGGGAGTGCAGGACTCTGTGAATACCCTAGAAACCACTACAGATTCGATGGTTCAATTATATGATATGTGAATTATATCTCAGTAACACTGGGGTGAAAAAAAGAGGACAAAGCAGGGAAGCCTGAAGATGCCCCGTTTCCCGCCCCCCCCTCCCCATGGCGACATGTCCCACGTTGAGCTGCGGAAGTGTAGGGGTGGAGAAATATTGGAGGCGAGACAAGGGGTGTGGCCTGGAAGACAGTGTTAGGGTACAGGGTGCCTGAGTGGTGAGCGGTGTCCTTCGGGGTTGCAGGTGATGCGGGGGATGTCGGGAACGCGCAGATGGAGATGCAGGGGATGAGAGGATGCCTCGCCTCTTAGGGACTCTGGGACGTGGGGACAAAGGGACACAGGGATGCAGGTTCAGCCTTCAGGACTGCACCGGGCTCGGCCGCTGGGGGAGTCTGCTAAGCCGGGCGGGCGGGGGCGCGCCTACAGAGACGGCTCCCTACTCCAGCAGCCGCCCCCATCCCCAGGACATGACTATACAGCCCTCCCGTGCCCACCCCTGCCCTCCAGCGCCGAAGCCCCTGCCTTTGGCGACCCCAGCCCCCGCCGCCCCTGCAGGGTTTGTGTTTTTTATCTCATTAGGAAAAATGAACTATCGTTAAACATTGAAATTAAATTTGCTGGGCGCAGTGGCTCATGGATGCAATTCCAGCACTTTGGGAGGCAGAGGAGGGAGGATCACTTGAGGCCAGAAGTTTAAGACCAGCCTGGGCCAGGCGTAGTGGCTCACGCCTGTAATCCAAGCACTTTGGAGGCCAAGGCGGGCGGATCACCTGAGGTTGGGAGTTCAGACCAGCCCGACCAACATGGTGAAACTCCGTCTTCAAAACAAAACCAAACAAAAACAAACAAAAAGACCAGCCTGGGCAACAGAGCAAGACCCCCCCCCCCCTACAAAAACTTAAAAATTAAAATTAAATAATAATTTTAACTATATATAATTTAATTTTAAAAATAGAAGGAAAAAAACCTAGAACTCCGTCATGGAAAAACATCAGCAAGAGTGGGAAAGCATTCCAATGCCCTCACCGCAGGCGTTTCTGGGGACCTCCTTTCAGGTTTTTTTTCTGCACACAGTGCTTTGGGATCCACTAGATAAAGGAGTCCCACGGGCTGCGGAGAGAAGTCCCCAACACATGGGTGCATTTCAGGGGTGCTGACAAAGCTCATGCAGAGGACAGAGCAATTTATGCAAAAACAAAATGTTTTTTTTTTTTTTTTTTTTTTTTTTTTTGAGTTGGAGTATTGCTCTGTCGCCAGGCTAGAGTGCAGTGTCGAGATCTAGCTCTCTGCTACCTCTGCCTCCCAAGTAGCTGATAGCAGGGACTAAAGTCTGGTGTCACTACGTTCAGCAATTTTATTTTTTTTATTTTTTTTTATTTTAGTAGAGATAGGGTTTCACCATGTCTGCCAGGATGGTCTCAAACTCCTGACCTCATGATCTGCCCCCCTCGGTCTCCCAAAGTGCTGGGATTACAGGCGTGAGTCACCGCACCCAGCCACAAAACAGTTTTTCTATGCATGGCCTTCACTCAACTATTCCACAAATAAATTTAGAGAGTCTCCTCCCTCATGGGGCCTGGACCTGAGGCCAGCTCAGCAACCACTGAGAAGCAAACTCCCCAACCTCCAGGGGCCAGTTGCTGGCAACGAAAGGACACTCGAGGGACAGTACGGGGATGTCAGGCCATGGCAAGAGCCACGGAGGAGATGGTGGCCCCGGCTACTTTAGACGGGCAGTCAGGGAGGGCCTCCCTAGGAGGGCAGCACCATGGGGGCAGGGACCTGCCAGGAGACCTGAGGCCAGACCTGCTTGTAGATCAGCAAGACAGGGGGATGGGGGAGGAGAACACGGAGAGGTGCCAGATTCGAAATGGCCTAGAAGGCAGATGGCCAGACTTCATCTTAAACATGCTGGGAAGCCAGGCAGAGGTTTCGAGGAAATTATTAAAAACACACTGTGACATCTGCATGTGAGTGCGTTAAATCAAGGCCAAGCATGATTTAATGATGAGAATCTTATTGAGAGTGTTCTTTATTGGCTTCTGTTTTGTTTTGTGTTCTTGGTTTTTTGTTTGTTTTTAGACAGAGTGAGATGCTCACCATAACCTCCGCCTCCCGGTTCAAGTGATCCTCCTGCCTCAGCCTCCTGAGTAGCTGGGATTACAGGCATGCACCACCATGCATGGCTAGTTTTTGCATTTTTAGTAGAGAGACAGGGTTTCACCATGTTGGCCAAGCTGGTCTCGAAATCCTGACCTCAAGTAATCTACCCTCCTTAGCCTCCCAAAGTGTGAGATTACAGTCATGAGCCACTGTACCTGGTCAATTTTTGGTTTTTGTCTTAATTTTTTTTAAATTTGGAGACAGAGTCTCGCTCTGTTGCCCAGGCTGGAGTGCAGTGGTGCAATCATAGCTCACTGCAGCCTCAAACTCCTGAGTTCAAGGGATCCTCCTGCCTCAGCCTTTCAAGCGGCTCGGACCACAGGTGCACCCCATCATGCTTGGCTAAGTTTATTTTTTGTAGAGATGGGCTCTCACTATGTTGTCCAGGCTGGTCTCAAACTCCTGGGCTCCCACCTGGGCCTCTCAAAGCGCTGGGATTATAGGTGTGAGCCACCTTGCTTGGCCCAATTTATTATTATTATTATTATTATTATTATTATTATTATTATTCTGAGTTTCCTGTTTCTTCTGACGCTAACTCTGTCTCCTGCACCGGGAGAGATGTGCCACTGACCCTTGGGCTGCAATTAGGATCATCACTGTGGGTGGCCCTTCGGAGACTCCAAGGTCTGGGTGGGGTCAGGGTGCACATAGCGGTGCAGACCCTCCTCCTGGCGGAATGAGTCCTGGTTCCCCAGCGGGTGGCAGCTCCAGCAGGCCCTGCTCCGTTGTGTCTGACTTTACCCACTGGATGTGCCACAGATGGGGGAATGGGCCCAGGGCCTCCCTGGGGGTCCCGGTGAAGCCAATTGGGTTCCCCAGGGTTCTCCCCCAGCATGAGCGCCTTCCCCTCGTGTGGAAAACAGGCCACTCCTCTCTCACCGCAGTGCCGGTTCTGACCTTGGAGAGAGGGTCCTGGTCGCCCCAGATCAATTTCTCCGGTACCTCATGCTTCTTGGGCAGCAGCGGTGGTGGTTCCCTGGAGGCCAGGGGGTCCAGAGTGGCCAGCAGCTGCACGTTTCTGTGCCTCTGCGGGATCGACAGATTGAAACAGCCTAAGGTTCTCACTAGGGCCCCCCAGGACAGCCTACCGGGAGAGTAACCACCAGTGGGGGCCGAGGGTGGGGGCAGCTTGCAGTTCTTGTCTGGGTCTGTCCGGGAGCACCGCGGCGGGGAGGCCATTTCGAAGCCTAGCCCGCCGGTGGCCGCCCACAGGTCTGGCTGGGAACGGTGGCGCCACGCGCCCGCATGCGCACACTGGCCTTCGGAGGCGCGCGCTACCCCGGGCCCACGACCTCACTGCCTGCTCGCCTGCTGAGTGAAAAATGGTGCCACCCCACGCAGCGCAGGTTACCCATAGAAAAATGGGCTTTGCAGCCGGGCGCTGTGGCTCACGCCTGTAATACCAGCACTTTGGAAGGCTTAGACGGGAGGATCACCTGAAGTCAGGAGTTTTAGAGACCTGCCTGGCCGACATGGTGAAACCACGTCTCTACTGAAAAAAAAAAATTAGCCAGGTGTCGGGGCGCATGCCTGTAGTCCCAGCTACGCAGGAGGCTGAGGCAGAATGGCTTGACCCCAGGAGGCAGACGTTGCAAATAAAAATATGTATGTATATGGGCTTTGCGTTCTGAGAACAAGAGGAACCAGGTGGAGGGAGCAAAACCAGCACCCCAGCCTCAGCCCTCCCCTGGGGTTTCCCTGGCTCCCTGTCCCAGGGCAATTTCTACGTTTCCTGTGCCTGGGTAGGACTCCTGGCCAACCCACTTCATGTCAAAACAGAAAAAGTCAGTCAGTTATGACATGGCCCCTGCACAAAATAAGACGGATGCAGTTATTAGGGGCAGGTCTACAAAACTGGTAATAGCATGAGGGAGCTATGTGCAACAATGCCAACAACAGTAAGAGAACAAAATGCTACCACAGTCAGATAGCCTCATAGCTAGAAAAGGACTGGATGGAATTACTCAAAATGTTGAGGGGTGTCATCTTCGGGTGATAGTAAAAGTGATTTTCTTCTTTTTTTTTTTTTTTTTTGAGACGAGTCTCTGTGTCACCCAGGCTGCTGCTAGAGTGCAGTGGCGCAATTTTAGCTCACTGCAGCCTCCACTCCTGGGTTCAAGGGATTCTTGTGCCTCAGCCTCCCACAGAGCTGGGGTTGCAGCCATGTGCCCACCAGACCTGGCTAATTTTTTTGTATTTTTAGTAGAGATGAGGTTTCACCATGTTGGCCAGGCTGTTTTTGAACTCCTGGCCTCAAGTGATCTGCTGGCCTTGGCCTCCCAAAGTGCTGGGATTACAGGCGTAGGCCACTGCGCCCAGCCTCTTCCTTCTTTCTGCTTTTAAAATTGTTGTGATCTATGATGCTACTTTCATAATGTAAAAGTGCTCTGTACTTTATTTTTTGTAGAGACAGGGGTCTCTATGTGGTCCAGGCTGGTCTGGAATTCTTGGGCTCAAGCGATCCTCCTGCCTCAGCCTCCCAAAGTTCTAAGATTACTGGCATGAGCCACCACACCTGGTCTGCACTTTATTTTTTGAAAAAGTCTCCTTGGTGCACATGAGGTAGCATGTGGTCATTTAACCCAGGCTGTGGGTGCACGGTCTCCCACTGGTCTCTCTGCCTGCCTTAGACACTTAAGTGACATCCACCCTGAGAGGCTGAGAACCCGTCAGGCCCTAGCTCTTTCCTCTCATGGGGCTTCCTGGGCGCCAGCCACCCAGAGAGGAAAGAGCTTCACTTCCAAGAAACGGCAGGAGAGGCCACAACCACCCCCTCTCACACACGTGTCCTTCAGTGAGTCCAGACTGTCTTCAACACAAAACCAGAGAGAAACCTTCACTTTTAACTTCTAACGTCCTAGGATATTTTTTAAAAATCGAGAAGAAAATAGAAAAATTCCACTTTATTAAACTGTTCAGTCTGGATTTTTTCCTCTGACACTAACTGAAATTAAAAATAGAAATCAATTTCTGCAACCTTTCAAAGCAGTCTTTGAAATGTCAAGGTTTTAAAAATTATTTTACAGCAGGAATTTACATATAAATACACTCTGTACAACACATTAACTGAACAATCACTAGGCTTCCATCATGGAGGAGAAATGATTCTAGGACAAGCCAAGGCAGCCTTCAATTACTGCCTTCTTAGCGGAAGACATTTCAGCCTGGAAAAGAAAACAGAAAAGAGAAGTGGAAAGTTAGCTAGGAAGTGAAAAACCAAGCAGCTCTGTGAAGCTGAGAATGCCAGGCCTCCCCAAATCACAGCAGCATGTCTGAACCTATAAAATGCACACATGATAACCCACAATCAAGTACTGTCTCATCTGTGCTCTTAAAATGCTTCTACTACCCTGAAAACACAGAGACTCACTCACCCACACCTCATATTAAGATATTAAGACCTTTTTTGTTTTGCTTTTTTTTAAACAGAGTTTTGCTCTTGTTGCCCAAGCTGGAATACAACGGTGCGATCTCAGCTCACCGCAACCTTTGCCTCCTGGGTTCAAGGGATTCTCCTGCCTCAGCCTCCCAAGTAGCTGGGGTTACAGGTGCACACCACCATGACTGGCTAGTTTTGTATTTTTAGTAGAGATGAGGTTTCTCCATGTTGATCAGGCTGGTCTCGAATTCCCAACCTCAGACGATTTGCCTACCTCAGCTTCCCAAAGTGCTGGGATTATAGCCATGAGCCACTGCGTCCAGCCAAGACCATTTTTAAAAGCAACTTTTTTCCCTAGTCTTACTTAGCCTTGAGAATACAAGCAATTTTTAATATCAGTTTCACTCACCTACCTCATCCATTGCATGACCCTTGGGAAGGAACTAAAATATATTCACTCCAGGACCCAAGCTTGAAACGGCTTTTTTTTTTTTTTTTTTTTTTTTTTTTTTGAGAGACAGGGTCTCCCTGTGTTGCCCAAGCTGGTCTCGAACTCCTGGGCTTAAGTGATCCTCCCAAAGTGCGGGGATTACAGACATGAGCCACCATGTCCAGCCCCCAAGTTATCAGTCTTAAATCTCAATTTCATATATAGGAATGCTTGTGGCAGCTCTATTCAAAACAGAGCTGGGTGACACTGGCTACAGATCCCTGTTCCACAGCCTCAAAGTAGAAAAGCCAGTGTCCACAAAATAAGCAGATAAACACACTGTGGCATGCTCACAAGAAGGAATCTTCCACAGCAATGGCTACAGGCCCATCACTGCCACCCACAATCACCTGAAGGAAGCTCATAAGCCAGACACTCAAAGAGTTCACATAAAGATAAAACTGGCAAGAGTAAGCTGGTGCAGTGGCTCCCACCTGAGGCCGAGGCAGGAGGATCACCTGAGGCCAGGAGTTTGAGACCAGTCTGGGCAACATAAGCGATCCCATCGCTACAAAAAAGTTTTTTTTTAAATTAGCTGGGCGCGGTGGTGTACACTTACACTCGCAGCTACTCTGGAGGCTGAGGTAGGAGGATCCCTTGAGCCACACAGGCAGAGTTTACAGTGAGCTGTGATCAGGCCACTGCACTCCAGCTTGGGTGACAGAGCAAGACTCTTGTCTCAAAAAATAAAATTCATACCCTATAAATATATGCTATATGAAATTGTATTACTTATATCTAAAATGTGCACAAAAGTGTGTGCATAGGCCGGGCATGGTGATTCACCTGTAATCCCAGCATCAGAGGCTGAGGTGGGTATATCACCTGAGGTCAGGAGTTCAAGACCAGCCTGGCCAACATGACAAAACCCTGTATCTACTTAAAAAAAAAAAAAAAAAAAAAATTAGCCAAGTGTTGGGGCAGGAGCCTGTAATCCTAATTACTTGGGAGGCTGAGGCAGGAGAATTGCTTGAACCCAGGAGGCAGATGTTGCAGTGAGCCAAGATAACTCCACTGCATTTCAGCCTGGGTGACAGAGCGTGACTCCGTCTGAAAAAAAAAAAAAAAATGTGTACGTGTGTCCATGTATGTGAGTGTGTGTGTGTGTGTGGGGGGTGGTTTGCACAAAAAAAAGGTCTTAAAGGTACATACGAAACTGGTGGCAGAGGTTACTGTGAAAAAAGTAGAGGTTTGGAGAATTGTTCAGGGCTTCTTTAAGCACTAGCTGTAAGGTCTGAATTTTCATAATGATAATATATTCACATATCACTTACATAATTAGATATTAAAACTTTGTTTGTTTGTTTGTTTGTTTGTTTTGAGACGGAGTTTCGCTCTTGTTACCCAGGCTGGAGTGCAATGGCACGATCTCGGCTCACCGCAACCTCCGCCTCCTGGGTTCAGGCAATTCTCCTGCCTCAGCCTCCTGAGTAGCTGGGATTACAGGCACGCGCCACCATGCCCAGCTACTTTTTTGTATTTTTAGTAGAGACGGGGTTTCACCATGTTGACCAGGATGGTCTCGATCTCTTGACCTCGTGATCCACCTGCCTCAGCCTCCCAAAGTGCTGGGATTACAGGCTTGAGCCACCGTGCCCGGCAAAACTTTTTTAAAAACCTAGTTAATATATACATTTTTTTTTTTCTTTTAGGGAGAGGGTCTTGCTCTGTCACCCAAGCTGGAGTGCAGAGGTGCCATCATGGCTCACTGCAACCTCCAACTTCTGGGCTCAAGTGATCCTCCAGCCTCAGCCTCCCAAAGTGCTGGGATTATAGGTAAGCCACTGTGCCCTGCCTACCAATTTCTCGTTTCTGACATCTGCCTCTAAGCAAATACATCAGGCACTCAGTAAGCCTCTAAAAGTTTCTGAAAAACCTCCATCTCCCACTGCCCACCGTCTCAGCAGCTCCTGGGGTGACACGTCTGCAGTTTCCTCACTCTGACTGTCGCTGCTGTCGGAACTCTCGGAGCTACTACTTTTCTCCAGTTTTTTACTCTTTTGCTTGCCTTTGTGTTTGTGCTTCCTGTGTTTCTTTTTCTGTTAAAAAAACAAAAAACAAAAAACAAACAAAAAAACAATGGCAAGGGGAAACAAATGTATTTTTTCCTCCTTAATTCAATACACAGAAAGGTTAACAAGGCTACAGGGGTAGAGTCGTTCAAAAAAAATGTTTAAACCTCATTTAGAGTGACAGTGATAGCCTAACAAGACAGCACAGGGCAGACAGCTGTGCCCCTCTCAACTGTGCACCCTGACCCGGCTGCCTCTCCAGCAACAGACACTGTGGAACCAAGAAGGCGCAGACGAGACCCATTGTAACACTTGGTGCCGTAAGACACGACACCACACATCTTATGCGTGGGGACCT